TGCATTATCATTTTGTCAGAGGTATATAATGCTTATTTAGTGATTCCAGTAGGAATAAGCAATGTAATACTATTTTGGTCTTCAGATTTTCCGTATAGTCTTATTTCTGGAATTGTTCAGATAAATCATAAAATGCTCCCCAAATGGAAGATCAGGTAAACCAAGACTATAGGCAAATAAGCCTTGTACAGCTGGTCCGAGACTAGTGTAAGTCACAACTGGCAGTCGGTCAGTGAGGTAGGTAAGTCTAAGTCACAATTAGTGACATTCATGTAGTCTGTCAGTCAGTCAGTCAGTCATTCCAATAGGTGCACTTACAGGACGCTGTGTTGGCCCTCTTGTACCAGTAAAAAAGAAGTGAGGCATAACTCCAGCTCAATTAACCAGTCGAGAACTGTGATTTCGACATTCTAGTACATGTACCGCAATGTGAGCCCGAGGTTGTCGGTCATTCACTTTCTATGAATCAGTATTCTGAATAGGCCTACATAACAGCCCAGGTTGGACTCCGTTGTGTACACGCGACGGATCAGTCCAGGGTATGAACGTCTGCAATCAGCCATAGCGAAATTATAACACATTTATATTTTTACATGATGGAGGAAGCTGAAATTTCGTTTACATATTCCTTGTGTCCAGAATTATACATACGCTGAGTTTAGCAAAGGTAAATATGTCCGTGGGCGACGTGTTTACCGAAAATAAACCGCAGATCCACGCTTTTGAGAAAAACATCATCAGTACGAACATGTCGTATACACTCCGCATACATGACACAAGTGTTGCACGCGCGCGTAAGCTTCACACGGGGAGTTCGTACTGCATAATTATGTTTTCGACGAAAGCGTGGATCTGTGTTTTATTTTCGATAAACATGTCCCCAAGGGCACATTTACATTTTCTAAACCAAGCATATGTATCATTCTGGACACAATGAATATGTTAACGAAATTTCAGCTTCCTCTATCAAGGAAAAAATAAGAAAAATGTGTTAACACTTTTTTCGCTATGGTAGTAGAATTAATACCCTGGACGAAATGAAGACGTCGTCCAACCTGGGCTAGCCTAATGTAGTTCAGCGCGTCAAACTGTTTTGAGAGAACTGGGAAATACAAGATCCCCTAGAATGATACGTGCATCCGACATGCATCCTAGGGGATTGTAGTTTTGATAGCATGTCAACTCAGTTCCTCTGTAAAAGTTTGATGCGCCGCTCTACTTTCATATTTTCTGTAGGCATGTAGGCCTATATAGGACTTTCCACTTGCTCACTTTCAGTACATACGGCCGAAAGCATTTCTGTAACTTCAGCTTGGTCCAAGTCTACATTCATCACTTCGTATCATGTCATAACAAAATCGTTGTTCGACAACACAGCACTGAACATTGCTCAAAACAAGGTGAACCCAATACTTGTACCCAGGGAGAACACAAACGTATCACATCCACGATTAAAGAAAACAAGGCAATATGACATTCCATCCACAAACACACTCGTATATTTTAAAATGGACATTACGCTTAATAACGCGTTTTAAATGAAATGATATTAATTGGAAAGATCATTTAAAAGTCGGATATAAATGTCCACACAACCATCCTTTAAAAAACTGGGCGTTTTGCGATATTTCTTGCGAGAACGATTTTCGGGAACGGTAAAAATGTTGACTCTCACAATCGAGCAATTGGGTGCTAGTCGTGAATCCGGTCGTAACGCTCGCATTATGCGGACGTGCGAGAAACAACATTAGTGTATTGGTGCTGTGTGTAGTGTCACACACACAAAACATAACATAACATTTTCGGGTATTTCAGGCCGTAATATCCCTTTAATATGGAGCTCTTGTAAGTGTTATTCCTAAACTAAATGTGCGTTCTCTTTCGTACGATACGTCCTCAACGGGAACTGGCGTGACACAGTTCGGCCTTTTAGTAGAGGAGGGGTTTACAATGTTTTGAATGCAACCCACCTGATTCTTGGATACAAGCCCGGCAATTTTGGGAAATCACACAAATGTTTGCAAACTGTTGTTACCTTGTGGCACAGGCTTGTGACCATTTCATTAATTATAAGCACTTTGCACGGTTGACCTAGTACACGGTACCCTGTGGAGACATGGGTACACTAGGGAACAAAAGATTGAAACGAAATAGATGTATAGATTTTACTCAAAAAACTAGGAATTTCGAAGGTGTGTTGATTCGTTGCAAATTGAAGAATTTGATGTATAAGGGATATTAAGTCCGAATTTCAGCCCATGAAAATAATTTTGGTTAAGATTGGAGCATTTTGAAACTAGATTTCCCAACCCAATTTTTTTAGTAGGCCCTACACGAGAACAAAGAAATGACTCCACAAGGATACAAGTTCAAGTATTCGTGAGTTGAAAGAGGGACTGCAAAGTCAAATCTAGTCACTTTTATTGGTTCTACGGTAGCAGTCTATACCAACACAAACAACGACTGTTTTGCACGTACAGCCTCGCTTTGGTTCACACATGGCGATTCCGTGCAAAGAGCGAATGTAAAAAAACAAACGAGGCGCTTGTGCCAGACGAAAATGCTGCTTATCTGAAACATCTTGTCCAGAAGTCATCATACAATAATACTGGCGTACCGGTTCTGTTTACTAATTTCTCCTCTTGGACTTGGTCCTCTCTTTGAAACAGAGTTTAAATCACTGTCATGTAATTGGCAAACAGCCGGTATACCGAGAAGAAAACTATTCGAATCACTTTCAATTCGAATCACTCATCACTGGATAATCTAACCGTTTTTGATTAGGGCGTCCATCATATTCACATCATCTATGGCATATCATATTGATTTCATTGCGGCCGTCATACCACTGATAGTGTGATACGTATCTGGTTAGTTTTCTCCTTGTTATTTTAGAGGCAAAATCTCAGTGACCAGAAAGTGTTTTTTTTAACTGGTGTGCATTTCACGTATTGGTATTCTGGCGCGTCCACAGTATTCACGGTCGTCCGTTCCAAAATGTCAAACGACGGTGTTGAAAGAGTGAATACAAGATTACTAACAGATGAGCCTCATATCTGTGGATTAAATGCTATTCCGAATGCGGATCACAGTATGGTGTGCAGAATTCTTAACCACGAAAAGCGAATGTTGAACTTCTTAAACGTGTTGTGAAAAAGAGGCAATGTACCCCCTCGTAGACTTCAAAGCTCTTTAGATGTTCGAATTCGATTGTCGTTAAAGTCGTTTATATATGTATACATTTTTTTCCCAAAGTATACTTGATGGTGCTAACAGGCTTCCGTGTTATGCTTAATCATGGTACATACATTCACAGATCCAAAACACGTCATAGATTCAAACAAGTAGAAACCAATGGGTACAATTTAAATTCTAAACGCCCTTGTTTATCAGTGAAGACGATATTAATTGTTTCATGCTGCAGCTTCCGCGGATGAAGAGTTATTCGAGTGGACGTGTCTTTGAATTCAAAAGCGGATGACCACTGAAAGAGTGCAATTTCCAACATCTTCACGCGGAGATGCACTGAAGTACCCTGCTCCATTTTGTCACCCATGTTCAATCCATATTATTGTCAAGCTGGTTATTAACTGAGTGGTTATTGCATCACTTCTGCGTGCCGGTCGTCCGGATACTCGCGGTCATACATTCTTCCTGCAAATTTAATGATGTGGCTGGGCCCCAATCAAGAATTTTAAATGGTCTGCCGTAATTTTGTTGTCTAAGATTGATTCCCCATTGCCCACGGAATAGGTTTTCGGGCTCTTAAATCAACAACTTTTTCGGTTTCATAGTTCAAATGCTGTTCTTCAAATATCACGGCTTTACCGTTATTATCTCAAATGATGTTTAGTCTACAAAATAATCTCCTTGTACAGCAAGGGTTTATGGCATGCGAGCAGATTTGGCGGTTAATTGTGCAGAGCAAGACTACATTGAAACATCGAAATGTTGACCACTCAGCGTGCGCCTTCTAGGCCTATATCGGTCTTCGGTAACCCGTTGTTCACGGTATTACAAAACCATGGCATCCAAACTGACCATACATTTAGTCCACTGCGATCGAAATGACGACACAGTTTCTAAAGTCCACTCTGATTGGCTTGCGCGCGGCGCCGTATCAGACGTTCGACCGTTGCTCTGCACGGTATACGTGAATGGCTGATCCTCAGACTATTGGTAATCTGCGATGCGACCTAAAAGCAACCTTGGTAGGTCCCAAAGAGTCGACTGTAGACCACCTGTGAGTGTGATGTCGTGCCTGTTGGTTGCCTGCAGGTATCAAAGCCACCCAAGTATCATTCTTTCACGCTTTTCCCCCAATATGATTTTGGACACTGTATACCGTTGAATCACCAATATTTTTAAGACGCACGGAAGAGAAGACAAATTTGATTTTAAGTTGCATCATACGGCAACACCAGTTTTGTAAACCATTTGGACAAGGCCTATTGCGGGCGCTCGAGTATAGTAGTTGCATGGCATAAAGGTCAACCACATAGTTCGCGCTCGAACTGGCACTTTGACTAAAAATATGAAAATAAAGATAATACATCAAAGGTAGGGGAACAAATATGACAAGGCTTGTCGATTCCAAGTCCAATTTACCAATGATTGATAAACAAATTCATTTTACAATGAGTAAAAAATCAAAACTGATATGACAAAGTGAAGAGCTCCAATGAAATGATAATGATAGGGCAGCGAGACTTACAGTGGCCTTCACGACGCTTAGGCAAGTCACAGATGAGAAAGAATGCTTAAAGCACGTCAACAAGAAGGTTCCTTGAAAATTGCAGCTCTGTCTTTTTGTTATCTTTGTCTTTTAGTAAAGTGTAAGACCTGTGGGCCCATATAGGGATTCCGCCTTGAGTCACGGAGACGATTCGATGAGTGTAAAGTACATTCGAGGCCACGAATGTTTCTGATATGCAAATTGTCCTCTCTCTTTTTGACTGGGGAGAGCTACTTATAAATGTTTACCGCGTCTGTCCCTCTAGTGCAGCTATATTTGCACAGAGCAAACAGATGTACGCGTTTCTGCATGATGGACGGTTCAGAAAATAATTCAGGATATAGTGCCGTACTGCGCAAAAAGGAATATATTCGATACTTCGGGACTCGACGTTTAAAGCAAATATTGTAATTATCGATAACACGCCGGAAAATTCTGGAACCAAATGTTGCACGAGTGTGTGTTTAATCGATTCTCCGTCAATCATGGAATAATGTGGGGTTTCCGTTGCTTCACCTTTCTTCCATATTACTTCGTGAGTCTTACAAAAATCCGAAATACATCAATCACCCTTTCCCTATACACAGTCTGTGGTTTTCACGAGTGCGGGGTTTAAGACATACTGGCCAGAAGATGGGCCATTGGAAAGCAATTCACAGCGAAAGTACTTAACCAATCCCAACCAACTAAGATACGGTTAGTTTTGATGGTTCCATTGGATTCCTGCAATTTCCACCGCCTATTCCCAATGATGTACCCACTTGAGTGCCTCAACCTCGTCTTTAGGGACGCCTCATGATTGTGGATGTCGCTGGGGGCAAGGTTGCCGGTTTTTGTGTCTTGTAAGTGAGCATAATCGGGGATGAACTGGACCTGTTTGACAGTACTGCGCATGTCTCGGTACAACGCCACAATGAAGAATCATTAATTGGGATAATAGACACACGTGTAGCTTCAAGTCTGTAGATGGAAAATTAAAGTCACCGGACTTGGGTAGATGTTGAAATTATGTACCACACCGGCTGGACGAATTAAGACACTTCAAGACCGACACGGCATGAGGCTAGTGCAATAGAACGTGTCACTCCAGGTCCGCCCCTCGGACTGCCTGCACAGTCAGACAGTCTGTGAAATTGTGGAGTATTTGGTTTTTATAGTCGGCTGGTGGCTATGCTATGATATGACACCAATTTCCTGACAGTCGTTCTCTTCCAGTCTGAGAAGGTAAGTTGATAATACACAACATTTTTTTCTTCATTACAAAAAAACCCCATAATTTACTATAAGATAACACTACTTTTTGTCAAGTGTATGATCTGCGATCATGCAAAGAGTTTCTATCCACGTTTTATATTTAACTTTCGTGTGTGAATTATTTGCTAATTGATGTTGTTGGCCGCCTCGAAGCGCATTTGATGTTCTGTTCACGCTTTAATATAGGTTTCAGAACAGCTAGGTTGCAAAATGTGCACCCAATTATTTCGAGGCAAACGTTCGATCTTGGCCTCGTCTGTAGTTTGGTTCAGCTGGGACCGACAACAAACAAAACACGTGTCGCGTGTCTTCCTACATGTTGATTTAGAAACTGCATCTCTTTTTTTTTTCTTCTTCTTCTTTCTTTCTTCATTTATTGCGTCTAGCGCTTTTATTTCTCGCAACATTGTTTACATTTTTTAGAAAAACATACGTACTTAATACATAGTTACATTATATTACATTAATTAACTGCATCTCATTAACCGGTGATTGTTGCTAGTCAACGCCATTCCCTTCGCAATCAGCACCTTTATATTGTGATCTTTTAAAATTGCAGCGCAAAACAGCATTCTTTGTTGCAGAATGTTCCACACGGTCTGTACCAGAAATATGCCTCATTCTCTGGATAACCTCAATGCAGGTTATATTGTGCAGTGGAATGAAAGGCCACGTCCGAGTTATACTTGGCTATTATGATCGGCAGCAACACGCGTGTGTACATATGGGAAGCGGCTTCCGTCGCATAAACGCATGCGAATGATTTCAAGCCGCAAGTAACTCGCACGCGGCCAAATCCGAACCAAGTTTTTTTCTCTGAATTTCCATTTTTTTCCACAATTGGAATGATTGTGCAGGCCTTTTTAGGAGCGGAGGAAACAAACTCATACTATGTTCGTGAATTGCTACGTCGACATTCCATTTTATAAGGATTAAGTGTTTTAGTTTCCTCTTTTGTGGGTGGGGGGGGGGATACATGATTACTTAAAATAATAGAAAGTTTAGAAACACAATAAGACGCACATTGGAGTATTGAGAGGGCTATGGGGCATCTCCTCGCTCGAGGTCCATGCCTACGTACGTGTCTCCGTCTGTCCCCGCTCTAGAATTCGAAAACTAAAATAATAAATATTTGACCAAACCATGTAAGAGCTTCTCCAGGTAATGAAGACCTCCAAGGGTCCCGCCTCCAGCAAATTGGACTTCAGTTACGTAGGCCACCGCGTAAGCAGTAATTTATGCAGTTTTGCGAAAGCAGCATGTAAAGCAGTGCTTGAATTTGTTCCATCTTCGATTTGCCGCACACTGCTGACATAACAAATCCAATCCCTGCTCTTCCCTTCCCGGCTGCAGCATCATCACCAAAAACAAAAACAATTTCCCCTTCATTTTGGCTCTCATTGTGTGTCTGCTTTCCACGGCTTGTTACGGTGAACATTTCAATACAGAACTGTAATTTCCTACAAGGCCAAGAGCTGGATGTGCAGCCCCGTTATCGAACAAAACAATTTGTCTTCGTAATGACAATATCAGTTTGCCTCTGTAAGAAAGACGGTACGCGTGATAGAGAATTATGTCGTATCTGCTTATCCGACGACTGTTTACGAGTGTAGGCAAAAGTGTAGAGAAAAGTGTGATAAAATGCCCAATTCGTATTCACCAACAGCGCTTGGTAAATTGATATCGTGAAGTTAAGTTGTTTGACATCCATTACACAAGTCACTGTCAATAAAGTGTGAAGAGATTTGGGGAATATTCATAAAATGCGAAATTTGTATTCACCACCAGTGCTTGTTGATTCGAAATCGTGAAGTCTAAGTTTCAAAAAGCGAGTTGTAAAGTCATGGTGGAAGGACATTTCTTGTTTGACCATATGGTTTGACATCCTTCCAACTCGTCAATTCAGGAGGACCTGGGGACGTGTGCAAACATACCACGCTATCTTGCGATCCAGGATTTAATACTCTGCAAGTGACAGTCGTCGTAATCTGACACCCACACGAGATTTTTATCCTACCTCACAGTGCATTGCAATAACCTCGTTTAAGCAAAGAAAAAAGGTAAACATTCATGACAGGCAAGAAAGTTTTGTCATGCATTCAGCAAACTTGTTATATTTGTAGCACAACAAAAGTCTGTCAAAGGCGGCATTTGATAAGAAAGTTTTGGTCCGTCCGGGGACGCTCGGAAATGTGGCTAGTTGTGGATTGCTTTGACGCACTGCTCTGTGTCTCATCGGGAAACGCCGTCTTGACACAATGTCTCAAGGCTATGATCCTAAGCTGCTTTGCTGCATACTAAAAAGAGGACAGTGACCTGAGCAGAACTTCAGGGCTTTGTTCAGAGGGAAGGTCTTCTTTGTGATGAAATCAATCGTTTTATGATTGGTCGTATGATTTTGCAAATGTTTAAGTCGGTTCATTTTTTAGCGTGTATGTTAACTCTATTTTCTTGAATCTTTCTTCTTCTTTTTAAGTTACTTGGGAGTGGACGAGGGACTTGATTATGGATTCTCATTCCAATAAGGTCTGCTTTCCTTTATACACAGTTAAAAGGTCCATTGTCATACATAGATATTCAATTGTTCATTTGATCAAAGCGTGCAATTTCTATATTTTGCATTCAATTCCCTATCGGATATACTTGGTCCGCGACGTCTTTGTGAGTTAAGGAACTGGGCCCAATTTCATAGCGCTGCCTAACAGCCGACTTTGTGCTTACCGAGCCTCTATCTATTTCATAGGGACCGTTAAGCAGTAAGCACTGCAAAAGCACGCTTTACTCCAGAAGAAAACTTTGCTTAAATCAGTGACGTAACAATATATAGAAATCTTCATGCGCGCGCAACCGTTAGCATGCCGGAATAGTGCTTAAGCAGCAGCATGATTTTTTGTTGCTATAGTAAGCACAACTGTTCTGCTTACTGTGAAGCTATTCAGTACTATGAAATTGGGCTCAGTTTTTGGAGATACTCGAGATTATTGCCTACTATGTTCTCCTGAGTCTTTCTGACGTGTGATATTGTCTCATGAAATGTTAGACGACATTTTGTTGACAGTTTGTTCCTCTCTGCTAGAAACGTAGGCAATTATTTGCAACGTCCGTATATTCAAATTGAAGTTCTAAATTCCTGACGAGATACCTAGCAAATACAGACGGTCCAGTGGGGGCTGTCTCGACAAGTCCGAATTCAGTCCGGGTGTGTACGTCTCTCCCAGGGCTCCCTGAAAGCCGTCACGCAATTAAAATCCGTGTAACGGGAGACACCTCGCTTACATCGGATGACTCCTTCAGAACAAGCCCCAGTCAGGGCTTCAAGTCGACTGCTTGCTTCGGCCGGCGAAATAATAATTTGAAGGCTTGTCCCTACGGGCCCCTCGACCACAAGCCCCGCAACACGGCCAGCCTCTTGGCCGTTCCGCACCGACCGCGGCTGGCCCTGCCGATTTGCTTTTTATCTGGTTGGAGTATTGACTGTGCGGCCACATTGTACGGTCGGCGGTTCCCCAGGGGGTCGTCGACTTCGTCTTGTCAAAGACGGGTGAGGATACCAGTCGAATATCGGTGTCGTTTGCGAGCCGACCGCAAAAAGAAAAATTCGCGGAAGAGAAAAAAGACATGCCGCTTGTGAATTGATTCGTATGCATTTGTCGTGTAGACATGCACATTATGTCTACCTCGTTCATCAGTTTGAATTGCTATCTACTGAAGATAGCTGGCGGTTTGCAGTAGAGATACCGGACTTTAATTAAACGCACCAACACGTCCTATATGGGGTAATTTCATGGTCTATGAGCACAACTACATTTGCTTTTCATATGAAAATACTGTCTATTGTATAAATAGGATATCAATAAGGGACACGTGATATAGGATCTGTTGACTAGTTTCACACGTCTTCTCTCACTGGCGATATTTTCTGAGTGCGCTTTGGGGTCAGTGAAAAGAAATTGTCCTGGGCAAGAAGAAATTGTTATCATGGCATTTTACTATGATGAATATCGTTGGCCTACATTCGGCTTTGCGCTCAGTGTGAATAACAACCTTGAACCGACAAGAGGGGCAATTGGATAACTAGGATTGATTGAATTGTACGGCATTTACCTATTAGAGAAAAAATATGGACAACGGGGCTAAGCATAAAAGATGGACGTGCACTTAATTTTGTTTGCAGCCCTGGCCTTTACTGACCTAGCTTTTACTACCAAGCTATTTAATTATCGTGTAAATTGATACTGCCATCCCTTAATTACAAGTTCACTTCCGTAACGGAAGGACGGTAGGCAGGTTTATTCGATTTCAGCTGATTTAGTTTCAAAGTAGGTCCTAATACTTGGATTCACCGAGTAATGAGTTCGGCGATAGCAGACAAGTACTGTACGTCTGTTTATTGCTAATAACATGGGGCTCAAGTAAGCCTGTACGGTTTTGCTCCAAACTTATCTGAATTGCAACTCGTCTAATTTGGCCAAAAAACAACTATAATTGGCCCCAACGGATAAAAAGACGATTAATGTAATCTGAAATTTCTCCAGTCATCGACACATCGGGCCGAAATTCCATTTCGGCCCGATGTGTCGATGACTGGAGAAATTTCGTTTTTGTGTATATAAATCTGGAGAAAAAACTAACATAAAAATTAAAATGAGACCATTGAAATATTTTTGAGAATTTAAATGCACATGTATACTCAGTTGAATACTTGTATAATGTGCACTGAGGAAACACTCGCCAGACTGTTGTAGGGCCTGAAAGTTTGCCACTCTTGAATGTGATGAAGTACACCACCGTATTCAACTTAATACCAAAAACTCTTGGTATAGCATGTAACATTTGTGACGCCAGATTTATTAGCAAACAGATTGCAATCAACATCTCCCATCAATAATAAATTACATGCTTTGGTGTTTTTTTTGCCTGAGCCCTCTATGCTGGAGATCACAATGAAAATTGGAATTGTCTTCCTCGTCTGCTAAGACGTTTTTGTTTTGCCTCAGGCAATATTGACTCGTCTGTAAGGAGCTTGTGCTCAAGTGGGTCGGAGCATCGGAGACGGGGGTCTCAAGGACTTTCTGATAGATGCATTTCTGCAAAAACCATCTGTCTCCGTGCAGCTCAGAATGGATAGAAAGGAAGCCCTACGTCATGTCACTAAGGTGATCTCCTCTTCATCATAATAATAGGTCGTGTTATCGGGATATTTGATTTGCCGAACTGATCCGGTTGAGATTTTCTTGCTACTGAATGGTTCTTGTGTTTGTCACACGCATAAAACATGATTTACAGCACTGACAAAAGATTTGCTGTACACAGAAACTATTGTTTTTAGAGAATTTATTTAAGACTTAAGTAAGAGACACACCTGGACCATGTTGTCTGTGACGTCATGCCGACATGCAACCACGGGCAACCCAAACATTTTAAGAATTCATTGAATGTATTTGGCCCACATTTAACAGTTTGGACATGTCAACATTCATATTTTAAGAGATAAATACGGAGCTCTGGAGGTGCCTTCTAAGATGTTGAGATCCTGACATAACTTTTCACAGGATGACCGCATCTTACATCACACGTGAGATGTCAACATCCTGAGATACGTTATGATGACAACGTCAAAGTAGGATGTCGACATCATCAGATAATTTATTAAGGGATAACGTCATCCCAAGAGTAGGGTGTCGACAACCTGAGAAAATACATCACGGGATGACGACATCCTGAAAGTAGGATTACCTTCTCATAACTCCACTAAACAGCATTCGAAGTTATCTCAGGATGTGGACATTTGACTCTTAGGATGACGTCATCCCGATATAAATTATCTCAGGATGTCGACCTTTTACGTGTAAGATGCTGTCATCCCGTAATAAAGTATGTCAGGATCTCAACACCTTGGATGGCACCTCTAGAGCTCCGTAGATAAACATGCAGTGCAGAAAAGAACGTTTGCTTAAAGTTGGAATCACGTCATCACAACATCCAATTTTGTAAACAACTGCGACATGGTCTATATATACCATCCGAATATTGTAAGATAAAACATACAGAAATATTGTATTCGATTTAATATTAAGTCAAGCTTGTCGGCGGTGTTGCTCTGCAGTTTGGTCGAAAAAGTGTTGCTGGTTCCAAAATCGTAAGTAAATGTCAATTGGGGATTTTGCAATATGAAATTAACGATATCACAAGGTCTACTCTATTTTGTTATCTGTTTCTTTCTCTATATGGTTGGCAAGTGTGGAAATCAGATGCCCATGCCTTAGGCTGTAACGATGTTCTTACAACAATCTGTTTTCACTTCGTTGGTATCGTTTAAGGCCTATCATCGATTCAGCGGGACCCAAAGTTCACCAAATCTACCAAACTTGTTTCGAACTTCGACTCCCGTCACGTACCGCGCGCTTTTCGTTTGTCCCGCACTCACGGCGCGTTGGCATGTCCCGTACTTGCTCTCTTCTTCTCCCCCCCATTCGCCACGGTACATTTATCGGGGACTTGCCCCCAAGAAAAACACATCTTGACCGCTACGTGCTCACCGTGTGTAATCATGCCAGAGTTGTGTGCTTAGAGCAGCCACTCGGAAAATGCGTCTTGAGTATCTTCTGTTTGTTTTCACCGCTAATCTAAGCATTTGCCATGGCACTTTCCCCCGAATGATATAGCGTCAGAATTATATGAGTGCTATGTTTTCTCCCAAAACAGGTTTGAATTATGATATACCAAATAAAAATGTGTGTTGAAAAATATATGGGCTTGTATAATGTCATGAATTTAAAGCAGGAACTTCTAAGGAAGTCTGTGACTTAAAAGGGCCCATGCAACGCACTTTATTTAAATGCAATCCTTGAAAATGCACCTTTATGTGTCCCATTTAACATTATTTTAAATTTTCGTTTGGCAATTTTCAGGGTATTTTAGTGCCTTTTTGAATATCCATATCCATAGCAAACGTGTCATGTCATTTCTGGCAGACACCTCAATGTTACGGCTATTTCAGCATCAAAAGTTGCCAGAATTATGGACATCTTGCTGTCGTGAATGTAAGTTTTCTTTGGTGATTCGTTGTTGTGTCAGTACACATGGCAGCAAGCCAATGAGCATACTTTTCTCGCAAATGTTTTAAATGAGCAATTATTTGGGTTCACAGTTTGAACAGAAAACCCCTTAACTGAATTTTGTCTTCCTGAAATGACATCTTTTTCGGAATGAGCATGAAATGTGAGTTTAATGTTTAAAGAAGCGCACTTTTCAATTAAATTAAGACCCCCTTTACACAGGGCTGCGACCGTTGGGCCCCCCTTGTGCGACCATAAAACTGGCCTGGTCGCCATTGGGGGCTCAAAGGAGGCCGAAATGGTTGCCTAGGTCATTCGAAGGTGGTACACAGGATGTTCAGACATCGCCGTGGACGCCATGGTCGCCGTAAATTTGTGAACATGTTCAAAACAGTCGCACAAAGGTCGCCGAGGAGGTTGGTTGCTCAAAGGTGGCTCAAAAGAGGCAGAAGGAAGGCACAAGCATTGCCGTGGTTGCAGAATGGATGCACAATGGTCGGCCAATGGTCGCCACGTAATACATCCGTTCTGTTTCAAATTTTACCGTCAATCTGGGCGATGCTTCTGCCTCCCTTGTGCCTCAAAGGTCGCCTAGGAGGCAAAAGCATGGCCGAATGGTCGACCAGTGATCGCCGTTTAATAGTTGCCGTTGGTCGCCGATGATGGCACAGAGGAGGCAGGGGAGGCTCAATGGTTGCCCAAACATTGCTCAGGGTCGCCTATGTTGCCTATAATCACGTTAGTTGTCGTAGGTTACACGGGGAAAGCACAGGGGAGGCAGGCAAGTGGCTCAGTGGACGCACAGGTCGCTTGTAGCTCGACATGAAAATGACTGAAAATTGCAGTTTTGGTGGTTCAAAGGAGGCACACAAGGATCGCTGGAGCAGTTACATAGAAACATGATTTTCTGGGTTTAGGCGACCATTGAGCGTCCTGGCCAGTTTTCGGTCGCTCATAGGTGGCACAAAGATCGCAGCCCTGTGTAAAGGGGGCCTTAATAACCAAAAAGGGATGTCAACTAGTTGCGTACACTTAAGGGGCCCGGAGTAGAAAGTTGCACAAAATGTGTTCCTAAGAAAAATTTATCTCATGGATCCTTTAAATCGAGACTTTCTTTTTTGTATTTGTGAATATCAAATGCAACAACCTATCTGTTACAAAGGGATTCAATGATGCCTGGGTTTTGCTTATTTCTTTTTCTGAAATATGTGTTCCTTGAATAGATAATAGCTTTAAATATAGCAATCAACATTTTGCTTTCCAGCAATCACCTCGCACTGGTTGAAGCCCCGCCCTTTATGTGCTGGAGCAACCAACCACAAACCTGCATTTTCCAGTGCCTAGCCTAGTCCAGTCTACAGTCGCAATCATGATATGCGGCGACCGTACGTCGCCACTCGCTCCGATATACATGGGACTCTGGGATCAATTTCATCAATTAATTCTGATGCGTCCGCGGACGAGTTACGGAAGGCTGGAAACACGGCTAACCTCTGGACCCGATTCCACTGCGGTCGATAATAATGATGATGTTGCGCGTGCACTCTCAACGCATGCACCGACGTGGTGTGAAGTGGCATATAAGACACGCTGTCATATTCAGATAGAATGCGATTCCCGCTATAGCATTGATATCAAAACACTTCTGTCTTTCCTCTAGACATTTGGAAATCGGACGGTAACCGCAGGGGAACTAGTGGAGTTCAGGCACCGTGGTCTTTCTGTTCAGCCGCGGGTTGTCAACCCAGAGTCGACTGGAGTGGAGATAGTGACTGATTAACACGATACAGTTACCACCCAGGCATCTCTAGGCCGCAGTCCGCAGTCTGCTTTAAAGGTAAGCTGAACACCGATCAAGTTGGGTCCAATTCAGTCGATCATACTAGATGTTAATACTTTGTTTGTTTGATTATTTGTTTGTATTTTTGCCGTGTTTTGGATGAGCAACATCGTAAAGCACCGTAGACAGGCAAGGCCCATCTTTCACAGAGGAGAAATGACAACTTTGGATGACATATATTTTTCCCTGACGACGGTATACATGAATCGACCAAAGACAAAGAAATGACAGTCGATGGCAGATGGAATCATGCTGCTGAAAAAGGTGTCGAATAATACTCGGATAAAATTGTATAAATAGAGTTTGTCCCCGGTCCCCAATTGTCTCTGAGTCTTACTCCACCTTTTGTTTTTCAAAAAATTATATAGAAATAATAGTAAACATTTTGGATAAAATACAGTATCCTTAGTGAGACACATTTCCAATAAAGTTGGAAATCACCTAGAAAATTGTTCTCAACCACCAAATTGCCGTTAGGAAACTTTCCCAAATTGTTCTCTGCAAATAAGGCATTTCTTTCACGGAGGATGGTTATGGTTCTTAATATCTTTTAAGTGCGTGCTAGAGAGAAAGACCGATCATGCTTGGTGTAATAAATGGCCAACACGTCCTTAGAGAACGCGACTCGCAAATAATTTTGAATTATCCCGTGAAGAGTTTCGTTCAGTGCATACACCCGAGCCATTATGGTTTCCACGTTCCGCAATTATTTTAAATCAGCAACCACTTTTGGTTCGTTCCAGCAACGCCGTGCCGTTTTCTCCAACTTGAGAGCTAGGACGCGATTAGTGTCCAAAGTTGATTGATGAAAAGGTTAAAATTGACTATGTGCGTGCTTTAACTGCTGAAAAAACTTCAACAGTAATCCTACTCTACTGAAAATGTTGTAGTACATATATATTTTGGGAGCCTCGATCAATGCAATTTGTAACGCAGGACCGAGCGACAAAGTTCCATGGTTGCCAAAGATTGATCTGTTTTTCCGGGGGCAAACATTGAAATTGACCCATCACTGCAGACTGCAGATATAGAAAATGATGAACAGTGCTGCATGTCATTATAAAGCACGTATACATGATCATACAATAGACATCAAAGCTATCCTCTATCTTGCCCCATTTAATGACAGTATATTATGCCACATTTTCCTCTTCGTTATCTTCATTTTCTATTCTCTTTTCTTTTGTTTGGGGACGCGTTCAAGGGAGTGGGGTTCAAACCCGTCACTTAATTCAGCATTTCTGTGGTGCAAGAAAAAAAGTCTTCACGTTTCTAAAATATCACCTATTTTTTGTTAGAACTGCCGCTCATAACTTAGCTGTGTTTGTCAGTAAAAAGGTGAATATTTAATCGACTGATTGTGAATCGCACGAACCTAATATAACCGTACCAAATACCCACGAAGTGCGTTGTATGCTAGAGCTGCTAAGGTGGTGTTACCGAACTGCTGTATACTAGAACTATGTTACTATTTCGTAACATATTCTGGGCTACTGTGGTGTGAAATAAAAATATTTAGCGACTTTTGTGAGGTCCAGGCGGTGGTCGTGGTGCAAACTCTCTTACAGGAAGACTTCCACATATTACCATTGTACCAGTTTTACCACGTCCAATGAAATAAATTTACAAAAATTAAGTCCCGCAAATGGCCAAATCCCCTTCCAGTTAAGACTACAATACACTCGCAATACTCTCATTAATAAAGCATGTTATTGCCACTGCTATGTTGTGTACCGGCAATCACGCTTTTGTAAAAAACAAACAAACAAACAAACAAACAAACAAACAAACAAACAAACACAATTATCGCTCTCCGTTTCTGATCACATTCTCTATGCCGGAAACAATTGAATTCCGGATAGACCATAGACAATGCATAGCTAATAATAATACGACTAATCATCTTTACTTTTCACAAAATTCTCTGGCGATTTGATTCGAAAAAAAAGTCGGTTCAGACATCGAGACAATATCATTTAAATCAATTACCTTTGCGGTTAATTTAATAAGGGATACCAAATTTTAGGATCCACGATTTGGTAATTTTAAGGAATTTTGGGGGAACTAGTCTAAGTTATATGGTTATACCGCCATAGTGGAAGTGTTATATTGAGGTGAGGGGTGGTCAGTGTAAGTGATGAGGAGAAAATTATATTCCGTTGTGAGCGTTTTTGCCTTTTGAAAGGCATGTTTTTGGTAATTAGTAAATTCACATTTAATTCTAGTTAAACGCGTGTGTGTTTAGGGGTACCTCAACGGAAGTACACCGTCGCATATTCGAGCTATAGTTTAACGTTTGTAGGCGATAGACAATTTGAATAATAATAATAATAACAACAACGTGTTTTTTTATGTTATATCCAAATGTCTCAAAGCACTTCAAAAATTACCCCTGTTCAGACCATGTGACCAGTTTTTTTACAGCAGCTCGAGATCAGTGCAATTGTAGTAAAGTGTCTTGCCCAAGAACACAGGCACCATGTTCTCCGTTAGAACCCACGTACCCCAGCACGTGAGTCGAGAACCGTAACCACTTGACCACAACGCTGTGAAAATAACATGCGCTGCGTTAAAGTTATGGGAGAGCATTACCACAAAATGTTTCAGGGGACCGTTATCCGCCCGTTTCTTCCCCCAGATCGCCACCCATGCGAAAACGCGATATTCACGCATGCATGTGTGACACTGGGCCGGTGTTAAAAATGAAAAGAATTCCATGCCTCTCTCCCCACCCATCAACACTAAAATCAGTTGTCTAACAACCTTGACCGTCACCTAACGTGTTTTCCAGATTTGTTTTCTATTCACAGTATACACTGCCCCTCAAAAAACGCCATTATCCTGAAAAAAATGCCGGTACCCGCACTTCAGTTGTGTTATTTTATACATAAATATTCTGACCACTTTGTAACCTGTGAATGTTTCTTTAAAAAATAACAATTATCGTGCAGCGATCTTTCAACTTGAGCGCCTTCCCTTGATATTGATTTTCGTATTTTGATGTATTGATTGAATTTTCAGTTAAGAAAATACACCAACGTGCATGACAGCATTCTTTTGTCAGATGTATTTTGATTCTGCCGGGACAAGGTCACTCTTTAGGAAATTGTAGGCGATGGAGTGAGGGACATTATCTTTACAATTCTATGCAAAATGCATTTTGTATAATTTGGGCTCAGTGCGTTTTCGCAAACTCTTTAGTGCGCGCGGCCGTTTGGTATTTTTCGCATACCGTACCTGTTACGCCTTGTGTTCTGACGCACACACAAAATTTAATCCTCGAGAAATATAAGTCTGGTATTTGCTGCTGTATTAAACATAGCTCCAACTGTCAATGTATCAGTGTCAACTGGAAAGGGTTCTAGGTTGTATCAATAGTTAATGTGGGAATGTAGTTTGAGTATATATATCTGCTTAGATTAAGTGTGCATTATATTTAAATGTTTTTCTATGATCTGCCGTCTTTGAGTGCGTGAACGTACGCAACACATCTTCGTGGCGATTCAGACTAGAATCGAATCGAAACCTAAGCTCAAAGTTCACTTCCCGTCCTCACAGCGGATATATGCAGTGTCAAGGTGTACCCTTGCCCTATGTGTTGGATAGGCCTACTCAATTGTTCTGCCTTTGCTGATGAGTTTTAAAGATGACCGTCCGTTGTTCAAAGGAGTTATTGAAGTTCAAGGCAGTCTTGTTTTCGCGTTAAGAAAGTTTCACGTGTGTTCGAGCTTCAGGTACGGTCCTAGCTGATGATTGATCTTACGGCTGTTTCCGTTTTTTATTTTGTGTGGCATTCCCTATTTTCCCCCCCCCCCCAAAAAAAATCACGTGTGTTTGAGAAAAGTACAGTTACTCGTATTCGTTGCTGTTGAGAGGATTGATATACATGTATTTATTTATTTAGATTATATGTGTGGATGGGTTTATTAATTGACTTAAAGATTAAATTTGAAGGTTTGCATGGTGGAAAGATACTAAGACAAGATAAGTTTGCGGTAGCACCATGTGAATAAATGTCTTTTGTGAGTATGTGTGATTCTGAAAAGAACCGGAGGGACTCAACGTTTCGAATAGTATGCTCTGCCCGTCGCCATTCTCCTGACAACAGGCAGAGCATACTGTTCGAAACGTTGAGACCCTCCGGTTCTTTTAAGAACCACACATACTCACAAAAGAGATTTATTCACATGGTGCTACCGCAAACTTATCTTGTCTTGAAGATTAAAGATCCAACGAATGAAGGAATAGGTATGGGTTAGCTATTCGCTGGATGTCACGGATTCGGGCTCGCGTGCGAATTCGCGCAGAGTATAATAAACAGCCAAACGTGCACTCTGCAGTGTTTTGTGATTTTCACATAAAAGACGTTCCTTTAATGTTTCGCAGATGATTAGAATACAACAGCTCATTTGTTTTTCTGTAAGTATATCTGTACGGGACAACCACTGTGAAAGACTTTTCCTTCGACTTTTAAGAGTGTATATTGTTCTATGGAATGTCCTGTACACGGAAGGAAACACTGGCGTTAAACTTTATATGCTTCGCCTTTTGGGTGTCCTTTTCTTCGCCACAAATCTCGTAAACGCGAACTCTTCCGTAATCAAAGTCTCGTGTCCTATATTATTATAAGATTGAGATCAACAACGCCTCGGGGACCGCCCTTCCGACAACAAGTGCCGTCCTGCCCGTCCAAATATTTAGTCTAAAGATTGGAGGCAAGATCCTAATGGCATTTAGTGGCCGTAAACTCGATTAAGGACACACAAGAATCCGCGGAGGGGTAGGGGAGATGTGCTGGGGATTTCCAGAGGATGGAGCGCCCGTGAGTTTAGGGGAATGCCTACTGTTGAGTGCTCCTTCTTCTGTCCTTTGTAATAACTTAGATTCACAGGTTTCTGTAGACGACAATTTTTCTGTTTTGTTTGTCTAGTCCAAAATAATGGGAGGGGGGTTGTTAACATAAACCAAAATGGAAAACCAGTAGGTGCGTTATAATTATGTTTATAATTCGAACAAAGAAATTGACTGAAGCTGGGTTTGACCTCCAGCTAATCGTACCGGCGGTCTGCCAACTGTGCTGTCCATCCCTGTGTTGGCGGATCCATGTCGATGTCTATGTTCACGGGGTAAACAAAAATGTGTAATTTGTTATAACGGAACAACAGACGACTCCCGCACTGGTGGTCCCAAGAATATGTAAGGTACTTCCATATAAAAGCATAATTTATCAACATGATGGCAATACCAATACCGAGACGTCGTTATAACCAAGTGACATTGCAAAGATGTGCCACTTTTCTCCCAACTTAGCTCACATTATAATTACATCCGCCCCACGAACTAATGGTCCTATATGTGCTGTTCAATTTGGAACTCGTCCATAACTGTCACAACTTAGGTAATAATTGCCAGACAAATTGAGAAATTCGATGTAGGTGTCGGCGTTATCTCAGTGGGGGTGTGAAGCCACCAACAGAACGTCGGGTTTGTATACAACAAACTGATGCCAGATGTCAAACGAATTAGCAGAGATATTGCCAGGAGGTTGCAGTGAAGTCGGATTGAAGGACTATGCCCATATAAACGTAGCATTATCAAATTGACGTTGGCGTATTTGTTACTTTCGAATTTGCTACAAGGGATGTTTTTATAACTTTGCTCAACGCAAGCTAGTGTCCCGTTGCGTCTATTTTCCATTAACAGGCCGATTTTTTTATAATATGCCTGAATATTTTCAGAGAATAATAAGCATTCTTGTTTTTGTTTCAGTGTGGAATTTACCAAGGGATTTCGAGACGGATCAGAGCTAAAATTTAGCCCAAATCCATGCATAGTAACTGTTTTTCTTGATAGACAAAAAGCAGAGCCCAAAACCCTTACAGCATCGGATTAGCACGCCGTCCCGTATAAAAACTCGCCCGTCGCAGTTCTTATCTCGTAGACAATCGCAAGACGCGACGCGCGTCTTGTGCCCGTCGTTGCAGTCAGTAAGTCGCTAATCCAGGGAGTTGCTGTGTTATTCCTTGATAGGCCTACCCCGCGAGAAAAAAAATGAAACCCTTTATTATTTTATTGATACTTTATTCCTAAAATCGTTTACTGAGACAACATCTGATGGTCACAGAACAAGAAAAAATAATTAAGAGCTGATGAACCCCAATTAAAAATATAATAAAGTCATAAAATGGAACTCATGACCTTGGATGTATTCAGTCCTTTGCATTAATTGGAAAATGAGATTTATCTACTCAGGCTTATGATACCTGAAATCGGGGCAGGGGTGGTCAATAACTTGGTTGACGAAAGCCAATGTGGCTCGTATACACTTTGGAGCTGTAATTTGTAAACTGTATAGTTATAGTTCCATCATATCTACTTTAATTTAAATTACGGGAAATGCTTTAATGAAAGAATTGCAAAATAGCTCACAATGCATCAAAGAGTTTACCCTCCATAGACCTGAACACATTAAACAAAACATCCGATTGTTAATACAAATCAATTATGTTGATAGAGTCATTCGCATCCTCCACTATTGGATTTCGTGCGCGTTCATTCGAGAAGACCACACACGTGGTGGTAAACAACATGGCGCAAGATTGTATCCATGAGAATGAGGTTGAGTAATTCCCATAGAGCTATATTAAATTACTTTAAGGTAATTTCAGACCAATGCTGTTATTACCGCAGATCTCCCCACACTGGGGATCAATTTCAATTGCTTAATAGTTGCTGTGCTAACTCTTTCTATGAATGCGCATTTAATCAAATTTCTACCATGAGGTATAGCGTGCCTTTTGCCGTGTTTACTTTGTACGGTCTCTTTGAAAAAAAGTCCTCCGATTTGCCAAAAATAAATTAAGGGCTTAGCGGCGCCATGAAACAGGGCCAATGTATCTACCACGACTAAAAACGTGCATGGAGTTACACGCGTTCACTTCTCACTCTGTATATTTTGACTCCGTTTGCGTTTTTCGCAATTTGTAAATATACATGTACCATTATTGGTCAACGGAGCACTGAGATTGCGCGTACGATTTGCGCGCCAGCGCGGTGCCGCCTCACCAATAACCGTCTAATTGTGGCCGCCAGATTAGTCTGCACTCGTTCAATTAAAAACCTGGTGAGTATTGAACGGTGTGACTGTACGGGAGAACACTATCTGACGTGATTGGCACAGTTTCCTTGAGATTTCAGCCCAGAGCAAAAGTCTGGACGTAAAAAATCGAAGCGACCGAGAGTGTAATGCAGCAATTACATTTACTCTGTCGACGATGACATACGCGGATTATGTATGGATTTGAGAACATACTTCCTTACTCACGTTGGCTGAATGAAACGGTTCACCTAGATCGTAATGAAGGAAGGGATTCGTTGATAATGAAGACAGATGTGGAATATAGCTTGGAATTGAAAGTGAAGCATAATAGCCGTGACAGAAAAGCGGGCTGAACCTATATTAATTGAATTCACGACAAAAGTAAATAACCTACGGAAGGAATATGTTTTTATTCGAACACTGTAATTTTTGTTAGAGTTTTCTTTCTTTTTTATATTGTAGCTTAATACAAACATTCATTGTGGCATTGTCCAAAAAAAAACCGCAGTGACCTATTTCAGACAATTCGGGAATTATTTTTCCACTGACATGCTTTAATAGTTAAGATGTCAAGAAAACTGAAAATTCTAACAATAGTAATGCAGGGACGGCAACAATTCCCTCTTAAGAAATTAAGCAGAACGACTGCATTTTGGTTGTTATATGATAACGTCATTATATATGCTAGATTCGCATACTGCAATGGGATTGGTCACGTGACAGTGTTTATTCCATCAAAATATTAATTCGTAAGTGACGCAAAATGGCAAGCATTAGAACTTGTCGCATTCAAATAGAGCAACTAAGGCTAAAATGGTGTGTAACGAGGAGAGTGTACGTGTTCATCTTTTCAAGCCGTGGACGAAAAATACCAGAGAACAAAAGAGAACAATATCGTCCACGATTCCCAGCATACGTCCGCGATTGGGGTCGTGTACAAAACCAATGGGAGTCTTCCTAAAAAGTTAGAGTACAAACAAAAGAGGGACAATAGGACGTCCACGATCGACGGTGAACACAATGTTTGTGTGCTTTGATGTGGTGAACGTAAAACGATTTCCACAGGATCGCCAATCGTGTACTCGTGTAAAAAAAATTGGTCAGCTCCACCCAATACCATAATTATTTCGATTACTTAGACGTACGTGGAAGCCACCAGAGGATCATTTTCTCTGCTCCTCCCTATAGCGCCTCGCGATTTTGCTTCAAACGTTGACTTGAAATTCCACCCTTATAATGTAAAAGCACGCGATTTGTGTGTGTGGAAATTAATGTATCGCATTTCGTGATTATTACTTAAGGGCTTGCTCCCTGTCAGTTCACAATTCTGCAGATGGATTAGCCTGCATTTGCTGATGGTCTCGTGCACAGTTTTTTATAGGCGATGTGTTGCTGTAAGCAAGCCTTGGCCATGGCTTAGGCCGCTATCTGGGCTAATAGAAGTTTCGGCTATACGATACTGCAAGCGGCATGCACTCTATTAAATGGGTCATCATTAGAAGGGACAGATCCCGATAAACAAGGGTGATCAAAGGATCCAAAAAAGAGAGATGATCTACCAAAGCCGAACCTGACAACCGAAATTGGGACAAAGCAGAGGGTAACTAGACTCAATGCACTCAATGTAGGGGAGCTCAGGAGGTTTGTTTGTACATGTAATTCCAAACAGTACGTAGGTTTTGTTTCTCCAAATGTGGGTGGGGAGGGGACACAAGTTGGAGGCACACAGGCCTCAAGCAGGAGGGGGCGTATGTTCCCCGTGCGCCTATAGCTGCCCCCTACTTTTCCACCTGACCGAATTAAACCGCCCTCTGATCGCATAAATCCTTATTTCGAAAGTTATTGTCTGTCAGTGACGGATTGAGGGGTTAGGGCTAAACTTGCCCACGGGCCGCACACAAAACGAAAACGGACACAAAATAGCTCGTATAGTAACTGCTGAACCTCCTCCTAACATCATAACCCTCGTTCTCGATCCAAACCTGGATATATCAGGATTTCGCGATACATACCTCATGCGTTGCTTCAGAGGCTGCTCTTTGTCATTTTAATCTACATAGTGAGTCAAAAAAAATGAAACCCAAATGGCAGGACCATTTTGTAATGAAGTTCGGCACGTAGCACTTTGAAAATCTCGGATATGAAAGCCATATTAATAATCTTTCTTTATAGTACAGGAATCATTCAAACCACTTACGTATACTTTTCAAGTTACGGGATTGTAAACACAATAGTCCTGCTGTTTGGGTTTCTTTGTTTTCTTACTCACCCTGTAGTAACCATGAATGTACTACTCATGCTGATCTGTAACTGTGACGGATGACAACAAAAAAGGACTCCTTTGATGACGATTTAACTGTTTCCCATGTATTGTACCAATAGCAAAATGTGTGACGGGTTTTGTACACTCAGAAGTTGAATGCGAATGCGAATGCGAATGCGGTTCAATCTGCAATTAATATAAAACCAAAAAATACAATAAGTCTCTAAAATTATGTCAAAATGTACCTGCATATAAATGAATCAATTACAATATGAACTAAATGAATTAAACCGACTGATTTGATCCCCAAACTCATGAAATTGTGTCTAGCGTGAATTATTTCCTCATTAAAAACTACATGTATGTGCCTTAGTACATCAATGTTTACATTAAAATTAATATTCAAGTCTCCGAAATTAACCTTGGTTGACAGTAATCCATATAAACTGATGAAACTGATGCGAGAATCATGTGTCACGTGCATTATTTAGTAAACGTGTATAAAACGTGCATCGCTAATTCTACCCAAATTTTATCCCCAAAAGTTGACCCAAAATAACTATATCTAATAACCGTAATTATTACCCCCCTTTATACACAATTATCTTTAACCCTTTATCTAAATCTCTAAACAATTATAAGTACTCACAACATTGGGCGTATCGAATAATGATGCAAAATCAAAGGAACCTTTTGACGGATTTCTACAAACTTGACAAAAATATGTGACAATACTGGCGCGCTGAGAGCGCCCTCTGTTGACCAAGAAAATTCTACGCCTATGACGTCACGAACGAACTGGAAAACTTTCCTACCCGCAACAGTAACTATACGCCTTACAAAACCGTTGCCCTCCAACTCTGTCTTATTAACGCGTAAGTTAATAAGATCTATAGGCTTACTTTTAACTTGATCTATTTGGGGACTCACATGCCGTAGACCAGCTTAATTAACACAACTAGGTCAAATATTCTCAGCCGGAGAGGTCCAGTTGAAGAGGAAAAAGGTTAAGTCGAAGCATTAATTCAGTTTTACTTTTCAGTGAGGTGAACCCGTTCACAGTTGGCATGCCGGACATTAATTTCCTGCTGACGATAAGACGACTATTCAGTGTATTGTTGTTTATTTATTTGTGGAGAGCGAGTGAATGCGAAAGATAGGTATCTTTTCGGAACTCAAGAAAGGTACGGAATATAATGTTCAAGAGTGTTGAAACGTGACCGGATCCCGAAAAAGGTGTTTAAGACCCTTTTTGTTACGCATTCGGAGGCGCTTACTTAGCTCTTCCTTTTGATGTATCACTCAGTTTTACATTTTTTTTTTCTTCAAATAAACCATTAAGGGAAACTGAGATGGTGCATTTTAATATATATATATATATATATTTTTTATTATTTTTTATAGTTGAACAAAGACATTGCCACTGAAGCGGGGTTTGAAACCGCGACCACCGGATTGACGTGTTCCCGAACGGCAATGCGGAGGTCGCAGGTTCAAACCCCGCTCCACTTAGTTTCTTTGTTCAACTTTTAAACAGTTTTACAACCTGATAAACACAGCCATAATGGCGTTAGTTCCCGTTGATTTCCGCTGTGCAAGATTGTGCAAGGACTTGCATATTAAAGTAGCTCTGCTGACTTCAAACTCATTTTGTTACAATGGTTAAGTTGGGTCTGTCGACTTCTAAAATAATTCATTTCGCTTTTACCCATTTTTCTACTGTCAGATCGAACTGTCGTGTGATCGGAGGATTTTCTTCATTGCGTAACCTACGAGAGACGCCAACTCAAAATGACAGAAGTGAGCTATGAGAGGATCCAAGGTATGACGACAGAGGGCGCCATAACAAGGACCGAAGAGAGCGAAGGTGGCGAGCCGCCGGCCACCGGCACCGGACATAACGCCAGCACAAGGATTGTTGTCCTGTTCTTGTTGTTCTTCCTAGGCGTTGTAGGAAACTCACTCGCCCTGCTCTGGATATGGAACAACCGCAAGCGGCGATCCCGCGTGAATAACATTGTGCTGGGACTAGCCACGGCGGATTTCTGTGTCTGCATTTTCACTATCCTTGTCTCGGTCATCTACGAACTGCAGAATTATCACTGGTACGCCGGTGATATTGGTTGCAAGACATTTATGGCCCTACAGATAGCCTCACTAATGGCCTCCAGCTTCATGCTGGTCATCATGGCTATGGACCGTCACCAGGCCATTCGAGCCCCCCTCAAGGAAGGCTTCTCGGTCAAGAAGATGGTCATGTTGGCCTGGGGACTATCTATAGCCCTTTCCATCCCCCAGATGTTCGTGTGGCACGTAAAGGAAAAACTCGACTTCGAGACTTGCGGGACATCCCTGAACGAGACCCCCCACTGGCGGTTGGTTTACATCATCTTCGGCGCCCTGTTCACGTTCTTCATTCCCTTCGTCGTCATCACTGTGGCCTACATCCGCCTGTCCAAGAAGATCTGGGATAAAGCCCGTGAGACGTCGGGCAAAGCCCGCAGCGCCTCCAAGAAGCGCAAGATCTGTATGCAGAGTACGGGCTCCTCCTCGCTGAACCGTGCCAAGATCAAGACGCTCAAGATGAGCGCGGTCATCATCGTCATGTTCGTCCTGTGCGGATTGCCTTACTTCGCAGTGGAGATGATTCAGAGCTACCTGCTGTACGAGGAACGCGGCAGCCTGAACCCAGACATGTACGGCATCTTTGGCATCTTCGCTGTCTCCAACTCAGCCGTCAACCCGTACGTGTTTCTGTGGTTCAACAAGCGTACCAAGTGCATGAAGCTCATCCGGCTGGGCCCGCCGGATGAGCCGTCAACCAAGAAGCGACGCTTGGGTTCCCGAGGGGCGTCCACCTCTAGCTACTCCCCAGAGGATACTACCAAGACCATGCTGGAATCCAAAGCAGCCACAAGGGGGGACCTCAACAACCATCACGACCACCGTTCCCATGGTCACCCTAATAACAACGACATCCGTATGGACCCGATTCGCGAGGATACTACGGACGTAACGGCGACACGTGTTTTAAATACTAACGTGTAAACACACCTGTCCCTACTAAAAAGCGTTTTGCTTTTGAGAGTTATGACAAAATCATTCGTGTCTGAAAATATATCGTCAAGTGTTCCTTATACAAGTTTTAAGAATATTATTATAAATGATCTGGTGAACTAAATTTGTGAAAAAGAAATACCGTAAATTGGCTGCACGGCACTGTTTTTTATTGCATGCTATACTTTTTTTGACAAAATAAAGTTTTTATTGGAAAATATACCAATAGTTGCTTACGTAGATATTTGACATTGAAGCAAACGAATAGATTACATTATCCACTGAATAAATACATTTGTAATTTCTGAATTAAAACTAAAAATGTTACTTGCTTAGGCCTATAACACGCTAAGTCCGTGCAATGCTAATATGTTCCTGTATTAGACCCATTTTCCGATGATGGATTTTTTTTGAAATGTTTCAATTTTGAAGTTGTACGTCTTATGTGACATGCATGCTAACAGAAAATATAGATGTAAATTTAAAAGGATCGTTAAGGGGAACTAATTGTACATCTCCTAATTTGCTGTGGCATATCTAAGATGAGTTTGTGGGAAAAGGGACATATAAATTATATCAGGGCAAAGAACTTCTGAGCTTGTTCTGTGCGATCACGTGCCCCAGATGTATTTTCAATTTACCATCGAAAATGGCCAAAATTAGAACGAGTTGTGGTTTACTCGACGTTTTCAAAGCACGTGTACTTGTGTTGTGTTTTCTGTGTTAATGGTGTACTATACATATACGGTCATATAGGGTATATGAACAAAGGGTAACAATAGGGACAATGGTACCCCGTAACTCGGTCTTAAGAAATCTCAGTACAATTGTGTAAACGCTATGGTGTTTGAAATTTCAATAGAAACAATTAAAGGAGAACAATATATTTTTATAGTAAAGCAGTTGCGTAAATCTGTGCCGGCTAGTAGGGGGGGGGGGGATGACCAAAATCCAAAAATTGCCCGGCCGTGGAAATTCGAAAGGGGGGGGGGGGGGTCGGACACCACATTGCACTAGGGGCACTCTTCAGGATATAGATGTATATCAATAATACTCGCGCTAACATCAAAACGGCGCATTTTAAAAGCTTTTGTACTTTGTTTCTCCACTTTTCAGTGCTATTGAATACATTTTTGTTGTTGGGATGTTTGAAAAATACCTCGAAATCCGCAATTGTTTTTTCTCATCACGAAAAAGTAGAGGGGGAGGTCGATTCAACAAATCATGTGACAAAGTTCTTGCATGAGTTTGTGAGGTTCTGAAAATAAACGAGGAAAAATCAACGTTTCGGAAAGAATGCTCTGCCCGTCGTCAGGATACCACTATTGTTAGAGGACGAGAGTTGTACATCAAGAGTGCGTGCACACGCACGGACGCATTTAAACCACTGAGTAATTCGGTTTATGAAATGTCCTCTCTGTTGGAAACCGTGTACGAATCAATGGAAAGATAAGTAATTGTAGGTCTAATAAATGAAGCCCATCTCTCTGACCGGGAAACATTGTAAATCTTCCACAATGACAAGTGAAAAATGCACATTGGCTGTTATTTCGGTTGTGTACTATATGAACCTAGCAACAAGTTGTGTAAAAAAAATTAACAAGTTGTGTAATATTTTACACAAGTTGTGTAATATTTTACACAAGTTGTGTAAACAACAGTTTACACAACGGGTTGCTAGGTTCATTATAGCACACAACCGTCTGATTTTTACACAACCGAAAAACTACGTGAGTAAAAGAAAAGTATAAGACCCCACTGAAAACAAAACGTCGTTGGTGTGATAATGTCACGCACTCATATATTACCCGGTTCGTTTTTGAAACAATAATCTATTTCTACCAAAAACAGAGTCAGTTAAGGCTATTATGGGCCGCTTTCTCGAGGATAAATGTTGACATCAGACTTTTTGCTGTTCTGTATGAAAGACACTTTTAGGGCCACCATTATATCGGGTACATGAATGAGTTTTCATTCAGTACAGGAAAAAATGTCCACGCATTTCCTTATAAATTAAAGAAAAATGTGATGTTAGTTTACTGCTTTCAGCTGTCAGTATTATTTCCTTCCCGTGATGCAATCAAGTCAAGTTTGCCCGTGAAATCTTCGAGTTATCTTAATATGTTGAGATTCACCTTGTTGAAAGTTACCTTATATTTCACTGTTATTTAAGAAATTATATACGAAATAATTATGTATACTTTTGTAATTAGTCTTTCATTGTAAATAGAGTACAAAATGGTAAAGTAAAAGACTAATAACCTGTATATATACGTCATACCAGGATATCCACACTTCGGCGTATTTTTAAAATTATGTTTACACGAAAAACAAATAGTATTTTGTTTTATTATGGTGTAGAAATACGACACACTAAATGTGGATCGTGCACAATGTATGATTTTAAAGTCATCATCAGCTGGTTAAGTGTGAGACTATAGCTAGCTATAGAGTTATTTTCAAATAAAGCAGGATTTCACATGCAACACTGTTGCTTGGTTTCAGAGTTTGGATTTTTGTTCAAAAGTGGACAAAAGTCTTTTTGAATTGCAGACGTACTATATCGGACCCTTGCAGAGTTGAAGTGCCACTGACGTGCGATATTATTCAATGATTCTTCAATGTTATTGGGTGAGTATTGGACGGGAACCATGGGCATTGGGCAGCATCTTAATCTTGGACAGTTTTGGAATTTGAAGCACACTTTTTTTGGCTGGAGAGAATATACTGGAAGACTTTAGGGCGGATCCAGGAATTGTTGCAGGTTTTTTTGTCATCAGCAAATCAATGCTAAAATGTAGACAGGTTTTTTTCTCTCCGGAGTCCGGACACTTGGCCTCCGTAAAATCAATTCATTTATTTATTGATTACTTTGGGGGGGGGGGGGGGGGGGGGGGCTCGTACCATACTTTCAATGTGGCGCTGTTCAAATCATACCATCATTAACACTGGTATACAAATACCCCCGTATTTAAACCCAGCTGGCTCTGTCCGAATTGTGTGCACAGGCGGATATTGTTACCGGTATTTTGGTTGGGTGTCGACAGGGGGGGGGGGGGGTACATTGTTTGTAATGTGTTTCTATGAAAAAAAATGAGTCATGCAGAACTGAAGGGCGGGGGTTCTACTGGATCCGCGCCTGAGACTCCATGCATGCCTCTCGCCCTCATTGGTTAGATTTTGTTTACTGTCGGTTACCCAGATACGTGCAGGTGCAGTATGAAATTTGGACTGGAAGGGGTTTCGCAGTCCAATTACATCCTGGGGTGGATGAGCATAATTAAGGCTAAATGATTGAAGCAACGAATCGAGATTTGCAGCTAATTACTGAGGAGTTCAGAAAACTTTTGATTATATGTGCAGTGGGGTATAACAAATAAGATAGTTGCTACCCGAACTGAGGCATGCTCAATACAACCGGTAAGTCCGTATTGGAGTTCACTGTATTGCGACTTTGGCCGTATCCCTGGCTGCATATGGCATACGGGTTTAATTTATGGCTTCAGACAGAGCAGCGCCCTTGAACAAATATATTGACAAATTGGCATGTGCCAGACGATCCAGTCAATTTTCTTTGTTCAACTTTTGAGAGTTCAAAAGTTGATTTCACTTTACACTTAATCGGGGGGGGGGGGGGGGGGCTGGTGGGGCCGGGCTCCCCCTTGGCGAGCACTTGCCCCCCCCCCCGGCAAAATCCATAAATATGTATTTGGTATTTATTATGGTGTTGGTAGTTGATACTATGCCCCCCCCCCCCCCCCAACCTCAGGGCCGGCTGGCGCCGGACGGGCCTCCACCGCGCGCCACGGGTGCGTTCGTTTAGCTCAACCGTGTCGATTGGGCCGTGTCGACAGTACTAGCCAATTTTAGAAGTTAACGTCACATGCGCATTGTCTCAACCCCCCCCCCCCCCCCCCCCAAAAAAAAGGTCGTGAGAAGGGGGTATTTGTACACTACATATACTAGGTAATAATAGTGTGCAAGATTGTGTGACTTTATCAGCGCTCCCCATTGTAAATGTGGTACAAGCCCCCCCCCCCCCCCCCGGGCCCACCACCACATTGATTTTCGGAGGCCTAGGCTCTTAGAAAAAAAAAGGTCTACATTTCAGCTCGCCTCCCTGCAGAAAATTCTGGATCCACCCCTGCTAGCCCCCCCCCCCCAAAAAAAAAAACCTAACAACAACAACAAAAATATAGGTTCTAGAACCGCGCCTGGCCCGATTGTCGTGCACGCGTGGCTGGCCCAGGGCTGACCTGTCTGCCTTCACCCCGTGTCGACCCGGGTGAAATAATCGAACGCACCCTATAATTCGCGATGGAGGGCGCTCTCTGATTACATCAATCGAATGTATGGTATCCGACTTTGACGTGCGAAAAAGACTCTGTTCAGCTGCCTTTTGGAAATGGTACCATTCTAAATGTTATCATTATTTTTGCTGAGGGGGAGGGGCCTGCAGTCGAGTCCTGCACGTGCATGACGTGCAAGTAAGTGATGCGGCGAATATCTAAGCAGGTAAAGTTAGTGTTATTAAAATACATTTTCTCTCTTTGTTGTAATGTAACTTGTAAGTGTTTTTCACTTTGTTATGCTTCTCATTTTCTGTAGCCACGGTGCCCAGTTTATTTTTCAGTGAGTTTGTCCAAAAAGATGGGGATTCAGTACTTGTCACTACTTCTATCATGTCTATGAGTATGATCACTATCAGAACTTATTTGAAAATCACAGGCGTGTGGAAAAAGTTCAAAAAGGCACACGGGGATTTTTCTAGGTGTGTGTTTTTTTCTACATGTGTGGTTTTCTAGGTGTGTGATCTGTGGTCCAGGGAACGGCACAATTGCAGAATACCCCGCCACTCGATCTATCCACCTCGTAGCCGGCTACGAGGTCACGGTTGGTTGACCTCAATAAACATTCTTAGCGCTACTTGTATGTACTATGCGTCATGCTCCATTGCACTCCCACTTCGTAACCGCGTAGCCGCCAACAGGGTAGTTGGTTTGGACTTGGAATTTTTTCAGCAACTCCCATTCCTTTTGTGTTGCTTCGTTCTCAAGCATATTCAAGGGGACTCCCACTCCGTATCCGCGTAGCCGCCAACAGGGTGGTTGGTTTGGACTTAGAATTTTTTCAGCAACTCCCATTCCTTTTGTGTTGCTTCGTTCTCAAATAATGGACCCCCACTCAGTATCCGCGTAGCTTGCACATGTTGCATGGACTTGAATTGTTTCTTTTCCAGTGATTCCAACCTCGTAGCCAGAGAATTTAGAGGTGTATTTCCGAGTGGCGGGGTATTCTGCAATTACTCCCAGGGAAATTCAGGCTTGCAATTATTCACACTTCTCTGGAAGCTTGTAGGTGTGCGATGGTCATGATGGTGTGGGGTACATGTACTCCATAGTTCTAGGAGTAGGTGTGGGGGTGTGATCGCACGCCTCAAATCAGAAGGACTGGCATAACTGGGGATTGTGTAGACCCACTAACTGAGGCACCAGAGGCAGAGTTTCTTTTTTGACATTTGGGATGCAGCCTGTCGTACAAGTGCCCCACAACTTAGCTTGAGTATCGTCCGGTGCCCCAAATTGTCCAATATTCGCGCAACCAACTTTCTTGGCTCGTATCTTTTTTCACACAACACGGACCGACGTCAAATCACCGTCGATGATCTATCGTCACATTGCCTTTCTTCTCAATGCAGTTATGCGGAAATCAAAAGCTTTTCCGAGAAGGAATTTGAAAGAAATCAAATTCGGTAACATGATATAATGGAAATGCGCTCGGGACCATTAAATGAACGCTGGGCACGACCACATCGTGTTGTTCATCAACAGTGGAGTTGAACAATACGGCACGGTCGTGTCCCCTGCCCTTCGCGTACATGTTTGTATGAACCGTCTAGCCCATAGAGAATGCGTTGCTACTACTACTACTAGTACTAGAGAGTCTGAAGTGTGCTGTCTGATGTCTGTGCTAATCTAGTTGAATTTCACGGATTTTCAACCCCAAAAATAACCGTATCACTGCAGCCCCATAACTTCATCTTTGACATGTGGAGAAGCCAGTAGGTGCTTTCAAAGGTATTTTTGTCAAGTATTTTGTGTGATTTTTGGCAACTTTTGATTGGAATGGTCTGGAAAAATGACACTGTCCGAAATAAGGATTTATGCGTTGTGGGGCGCTTGTACGACAGACCACATCCCAAATGTCAAAAAAAGGAGTTCTAGCGCCCCAGTTATGCGCCTATCAATTGTTGCCCCCCCCCCCTCCCCCCCCCCCCCCCCCCCCCCCCGGGCTGCCCCACCCAAGACGTGGGGATTGTCCCTTTTAAAGTGACAAAATCCCACCCCTCGGGCAAAATTTAAGTGACAATTGCCGACCATGCCCCGACATACCGTACATACGTTTGGCACACTAGTAAATGCATTTGGGTGATTCCACGGTTACTCGCATTACCCTTTTTTGCGCCCTTTCGTGTTCCGATTGCTTTGGTTTTAGCAGTAGTCGGACTATCTATTTCTTATGCTGCATAAATATACCCTATATTCAAGGCTTCACCCTGATGGTAAAAAAAAATATGTTCGTACCATGACAAGATCGTGGCACTCTTCGAAAAAAAAACGGTTACTCGCACTACACAAAAAGGACTGTCAAAAATTGGCTCTGTTTTAATTCCCCTGTCTGCTTAAACTGAAAGTGCAATGACCAAATTAGTATATTTACAGGACACCTACCAATAGTACTTAACTGAAATGGTTAATAAAAAATGAAGACCCAAATGAGATATAAATTATACAGCGAGAAAGGTTGGTTACTCGCATTATGGTTACTCGCATTACAGTTTGTCCGACACTTTGGCTGGGGTCAAATACAAATTTAACCCTACAATTTTGATCAGATTTTAACTGCATGGAGTTGCACAACCCTAAACGTATGGACTGAAACCAAAATAAAGCCAACAAAAAAGTAAAGGATAAAAGATAGCCAAAGAAGGATTTTGGTTACTCGCATTACAGTTACTTGCATTACAATTTGGTTCATTTGGTTACAAAAAAATCAAATCTTAATCAGGACAGGTCTAATTCAACCTAAATCATTTTATCAAACAAAACAAATGGCTAGGCTATACAATTAAATCAATTAATCATTTTTTTAAGTATCAGTATAATTAAAAGATTACCACTCAATCAGAATTTGTCTTTTAGAAAAGTTTGATGGTGCCCAGCACAGGCCTATTGAACATGCTGAACGATAGGCCTACATGTACATGACAATATAATAACTCTAAAAATGTCATTTATGCATATTTACTGATAACATTCCCTCATCAACTCTCAAATTTGCTCTAACTGTTTGTACATCAGCATTAGATTGATTGTACACAATGTGATTTTATGCAAATTCTGAGCAACGTTTGATGTAGGCCCCATGAATTCTAACACTGTTCAGACATGTGTACCACAAATCCTAGTCTGCATCAGTTTACATTTTCAAGGGGCTCACATTATTTCTTATCAAAAAACAGTAAATCAGTGATCAAAAGTCATAAATTTTATTCATTATCATCATGGAAAGTTATATGGTTACTCGCATTACAGTGGTTACTCGCATTACAGTGGTTACTCGCATTACAGTGGTTACTCGCATTACAGTGGTTACTCGCATTACCGGTTACTCGCATTTCAATTTTTGACACCTCCTGATGACATCATGCTTGGTATCATTTTCATTTCTTTTATCGATTCAATAGTTGTTACTAACATGACTAAGGGAAGAAGCAAAATATGAAATGGCAAAGACAGAATCAATTTCATTCAGCAGCAATATCAAAAACTTGATCTTTTGGTTACTCGCATTACATACCCAAACCAATGCAACAAAATTGCATCCACACTGCTATACAAGGAGCCATGATCCAAAATTTGTTTATGTTTTGAGAAGATCTGAAGTCAAAGTATCAAAGTAAAATATAGTTTTAATAAGGCTAGTTCTATGTGAAAATAACCAACCATTTGAAATTTGAATATTGAAAGGCTGATTTTTTCCAGCCAAAGAACACCTTTAGTAATCTGAATTTTGTTCACAGAAAATGATGAAGGATTGGCCAAAAAAGTTTATATCCTGATCCTTACATGTGCTAGCAATAACTTAAAAGTAAAAAACAAGCTCAGGAATTAATTTCATTTTTTGGGGTCATGTCTCTGTTTGCTTGGAATCGCCCATTTCCATGTAGTATGCCAATGGTAACAATATCATTTGAGTGACCGAAATCCCCACCCTGGGGCATGAAGATCGTGACCAAATCCCGACATCGGACCTGGCGCGGCGCGGAAGGGGGGGGGGACATTTGAAAGGCGCATTCAATACGATTTTGCACACCCCCTAGGGAGTAATTAGGGTTAAGGAAATAAGGACTGTTATTCTACTTGATATTTAACTAGTGGTAGATACCCAATTAATAACTAAGAAAAACTGAATTCTCTAGATGTCTAGTTTAGGCCCCCCCCCCCCCCAAAAAAGAAGGAAGAGTCTTGTTTCTGGTATTAAGCTTGCCCCAAAAGTGATGCGGCGTTTTTTGGTTTTTTTTCCCTACTTTTTTTTCTTCATATGTCAGCTGATGTTGCAGATGGCACTTCAATCCCCTTAAAACTCTCCAAAAAAATATCCTTCAGGGTGGAGCAGCTTGAGGTGACCTCAGCCATAAGGCTTGAGAATTCTGCACCCACTTTCAATCTCGACCGACACAAACATTCTTTGGGAAATTTGGATAGTCAAGTCGTTAACCAAACTCGCTCGCTCAAACTGACCAGCATGTAGTGTAACGCCCGCCATAGAGGAATGAGAGCAAGCAGCCATGGACTGAATACAGCCTGATACTTTTAAACTGCATGCTCCACAATTTTTATGCGCATATCCTCAAGATTTAAAGGGCATTGCCTAGCTGGCAGTTGGGTATGTAAGAATACACCAAGTCTGAGAACCACACACTCGTCTATGCAGTACATAGTACCACACTAAAATGTAACACCGTAAGTAAATTGAGTAAGAACGTATTTAGTGAAGTACGTGGAACATAATGAGACACGATTATGTTTCATCTTGGTCTATTGAGGGCACTTTTACTTGCTTTAATTGGCCTGTCGCTCTACTAACCATTCCCAATTGGCCTAGCAAAATCGGCCCGAGGCATTACCAGCAAATTAAGAGTGTAACAGGATATTATGGAGTGTGCAAGTCTTGCCACTTCAGGTTTTCTTTTTATGTGAACGTCCTGGTACATAACACTGACTACAGTCTAGTCACAGACTCCCATGTTTGTTTTTATCCAGTGCTGATATGCCTGATCGATTGGCCAGAAGATGAGGTCGACATTTTTCATGTTATCATTGTCTAAATTAAATTGCAATATTTTAGATATCTTGTAAATTGAGAGACTTTTGTTTCTTTCACACAATGTGTCTATCACTCAATCTACCTGCTGCTATTTCACAGAATGTGTTTATTATTGTTTTGGCCAGAGCAAAATAGAAGCAAAAGTAGGGATGTGGGTCATGTGGCACAAGTGCTCTCCTAGATTAATGCGGCGAACAAAACTAGGAGATATTTTGGAGGTGGCACCATGTCCGTGCGCATGCTGCATGCATTATTAAAGACGAGGTGTGCGCGCATTTTTGTAACCCTATTGGTCGAAGGGGCCCAGAATGTGTGTAGTACCTGAGCCCAACTCTCACGAGCCTGGTGCCACCTCAGAAAATGGCTGCGGCCATACAATGGGTTACACCTCTATGTTCCGACACCCCTATGTTCCGACCCTAACCCTAACCGGGAGTAACACAATCTAGGTTGTCGGAACATAGGGGTGTCGGAACATACCGGTAGAGCAGTCACCATATAATGTTGCCTATACAATGTGCCCTGATAGTAGGCAGATAGGGAAAATATTTGGGGGAATTGTGCCTTTGATGATACAAGCACGGCATTTGGCGCACAGTCAGAGTGTGTCACGAGAAAAATATTTGGTTAAACTTATAGGGCATCGCAGATTTGTTCTTTGAAAAAGTATAGGTAGCATAACAAGCAATTTAAAAAAATTTCAAAATGGCTGCCATTGCGTGTTATTCTACCTATATTTTTTCAAAGGACAAATCTGCGATGGCCCCCTATAGCCAAATATCTTTCTCACGACATGCACTAGTGACTGTGTGTCAAATTCCATACTTTTATCATCAAAGACACAATCCCCTCAGATCATCTGCCATACTATGAAGTCCCATTTTTCCTGTGAAATCTAACCTTTTTTTATGCCATCTTGCACGCTCCATTTGAAAGTGCGAGTTTCATCCTGATTGCAGATGACTTCTTCCCACTTTCAAAAATGCATCATGGTAGCAATTGCATTATAATAAGACATTTTTCGTCTTTGTTCCTAAATACACAATGTAGTTGATCAGCTCTCGGCATAATTCAGAATGAGGTTGCGCTGGGGCATCTGCACCGCTGGGCATATCAGCAATGACTTTGTGGTGGCACTCAGCACTCTCCCCTCTGAGGACCACACGGTGGCTGCCGTGGCTGCCAGGTCCGAAGAGAAAGCCAAGCACTTTGCCGACAAGCACAAGATTCCGGTGGCCTACGGGGGGTATGAGGCCCTTGCTGCAGATGGTAGTGTTGGTGAGTACATCTGTTCGTCTGTTGCTTTGTTAAAAAAAAAAAAGTATGACTGCACTCCCATGCACTGAAATTTATAAATTCAAGGAAATGCCAAAAAATTCAATATTTACAAATAAATTCCCCCCTCCTCCAGAGGATAATATCCGTGAGAAAAGCTTTCTTTTTGTAACTTTGTTTTCAAGAAAAAAATATACAGAACTCTGACACTGAAAGTTGTACTTGCAAGGAAATGCCCCAAAAAACCTGTAAGTGCAAGAAACTGCCCCCCCCCTCTCTCCCAAGATGATAATGTCAGTGAGAAAAGCTTTCTGTGTGTAACTTTATTTCCTTGAGAAAAAAAAAATAGACATCATTCTCATGTAATAATTTTCTAAAGAAAATGCTAGTGCAAGGAAATGCCTCTTTTGTAGGTTACTCCCAAACTATTGACTGTACCCATTTGTTTTACCCACCTTGGTTCGGGAGAGGCAAGTAGGGGTGGAGTGGCTTGCCCAAGGACACAACCTGTGGCTAGCAACTGGATTTGAACCCCTGACCCTCTGATAAAGAATCAACTGTAGTACTTAAATGCAAGGTCATTAATTAACGGTTGTTTTTCCGTACATAAACATGATGCTTATGATCACATTATACCGGTATTTGTTTCAAAGTGTCTTGAATGTTTTCTTAAGGGCTTGGAAATTCTTATTACACCAAACAGGAGCAGATTGCTCATAAATTCTTATTCTAAGTTGGGAATTGATTCTGACCTGGAGTCACTCAGGTCTATCGACCAATCTGGGTGTGTTATCACATCTATCGAGGAGGCCCCCTTCAATGGCAAAAGCATTGTGCTAGCTATTGTTCAGATAATTCGTCATGGAGTGTAGCTTTTCCCCAACAGCTCACACAATGTCATTGAAGTGACAGTGATCACGCGCCCGGATTCTTATATATGCCATATACTCCCCACTTATTGCTAGGACTTTGCCCACAGCTAACTGTTGAGTGGGCCTCCATTTCCTTGTTGTAGATATTGTCTACATTGGTGCATTGAACCATGTCCATCTACCCCTATGCAAGCTGTTCCTGGGCAAGGGCAAGAACGTTCTCTGTGAGAAGCCCCTTGGTCTGAACAGGAGAGAGGTCCAAGAAATGATTGACCTGGCCAAGGAGAAGAACGTCTTCTTCATGGAGGTACCGTAATTCAGGATAAAGACTGGTTCACGTACCGTTGTACACATGGGTCATCATTCTATAAATTTAGGATCCACAGTGTGATAGTTTTCCTGTCCCTGTTATCTCTGAACTTTGCAATTTGCCATTTGAGTACCATAATGAGAATAACTTCAAACTAAGTTTTACTTGTTGGGTGGGTCCGATCGTTTGCTTCACATAATCACTCTAGGAGGAAGAATACAATACCTTAACCCTAACCTCGTAGTCCAAGAGGTCAAGAGTCAGGGTCATTGATAACCAGAGATGGCCAAAAAGTTCTACAGAATTCGATCTTTCGAGCAAGTTCAATGAATCCGCGTGTACAAGATTCAGAAGTGAAAGCCAACCCAATTTGGTCACCGAATAAACTTTCGACATCTTGTGTTTGTTTGTTGTAGGTTGAAAGTTTAATTACCAAGTTAAGTGTGTCTTAAAGTTGAGGAATTTTGGTGTCTGTAATGTTTTATCCGTGGTCTAAAAAAAGGCAACAAACACTTACATTAGCGAGATCAAATATTCGAATATGCTGTTCATAGTACTCACACATCCCCTCTAAATGCTCATCTATTGATATGAAATCATTTAAAAAGGTAATAAAACGTAAACATGGCCCGTATTTTTCTCAGTGTTGTGCATCGTTGAGTACGACATACAACAGCCACCGGGTCAGTAATACGTATGTTCTGCGTACACAGTCCATTTCCGACCCGACGGCTGTTGCATGTCCTCAGTAATCACGGCTTATGTGACGTCACTTATCTGCTTCTGGTACCCAGGTCCACCGCCAGGTAACCATAAGACTAGCCAATTCGAATTCCCCAAGGTGTAACCTTTCCAAAAATACCCACTAAACACTTGGTCATTTCCAAAAAATAAATGACCCCTGGCTCTTGGACTATCCCCAACTCCATCAAAATCCATCCCCCCATTTTGGTGGATTTTGTGGGACTTGGTCCTGCAGGCCTGGTGTGACAAAATATTGATGGAGTATGATGTACTTGGGCCTGGAGGCCTAAAGCAAAGCATGCATTGGAAGCAGTGTCAATGTGTGATTGATGGAGTTTGGCGGACTTGGTCCAGTACTTAGTAAAAAGACAGTAGGGAGTTAGGGTTAACTTAAGGAGTGCATCCAGGCTTAGAAAATCAAAGATGTCAGATGTAACAGGGACAGGAAAAAAGTGGACCCCAAATTTATAGACTGAGCCACATTGCAAATCAGAAAATGTGTAATTGTGAAAGTTTGTATTCTTCAAGGACATGTGAATGGCCTACCTTGTTACATTATATTGCAGCCTATGAACAAGTCCTTTCTTCCACATTTGTATGCCAAGTCATTTGATAAACTACTGATTTGTATGTGTATGGAGGAACAAGGACCAATCTTTGGATTAAGTAACAATGCACAGGTTTGTAAAATATGTTGGCTTACATGTACATTGTATATTTTTTTCCAGTGGAACAACCCGTCACCCCATACCATATTAGTATTATTTTGGGACATGTCAGTCGCACAACATTATTGAACAATCACACATTTTGAATAAGACCATCAAAAAAATACTTCTGTTTCCAGTTACCCGGCCAACCCTATTTTTACGGCCTGTCCCTAAAATTTGTATCGACAAGTTAAAAACAAATATAAAAAAAAAAAAAAAATTACGCAGCTGCCCATATTTGTACATTTTCTTAATTACAATCGCTATATTCAGCAGGAAACCTGTGCTTGAATACTACATTCAATCAGCACACAAAAAAATTGCAGAATTAAAACAATTCCCAGCCTATACCAACCCTATTGGTGAAAGGCACGTAATCGGAAGCAGAAGTACATTTTCTTTTGTCTAATCAGGCTAATCACGCCAAAGCTGCCTTCAATACAAGTAGTTTGCATTGAAGGCGCTGATTCTGATTATACAAGTTGGTTAATTCTCTAGGGTTGGTGGAGCCGTTTCTTCCCAGCAACTGTCAAACTGCGTGAGATCCTAGCTGCTGGTCTTATTGGCGACGTAAAGGTTTTCAATGCATCGTTTGGCTTGCCAATAAGTTCTGTTGAAAGAATAGCAAATAAAGGTACGGCAGAGTTAAGTTGTTGAAGTTTGAATTTCTTCATTTTTTTTAGGCCAGTCTTGTCTCAAGACCATCTGTAGACCTATTTGCAGTGTTTCGGTCTTGACTTGGTTTCAATTTACCAATGACCAGCCCAAGAATGTTTTCAGTCTTCCATTGCTGGCACTAGTTGATGTCCTCATATAAGCGCATGAAATGCGAGCAGTCAATGGTTTGTGTACATTTACGCATTGGTCTTAATTGTTTTGTGCCTAAAAGTCTTTTGGAGGGTGAGGTTGAGCAGGGGTTAGACCTTCTTTTGAGAGTACTTAATTATGAAACTTGAATATTTTGGTAATGTCTGATGGCAGATGTTGGAGGCGGAGGTCTGTTGGACTTGGGCATCTATCCTGTGCAGGAAGCCCTCATGGTATTTGGAGAGGCTCCGTTATCATGCAAGACTACCGGCACCTTAACAGATTCAGGTGAGATTTCTTTCTTGTTGGGAGTATGAGGTCGGAAGTTAAGATAACTAGTGACCAGTTGGAGATCCAAACCAAGTGTTGTATTAGCGTCCGTCACAAGTCCTTGCACAAGTCTGATTATAACAGGGGATAAACAATAACAAAGTAAACGCCTTTGTCACAATTAATTTGAATATCTTTTGACGTGAGTTTGGAGAACTTGTCTTGGACTTGTGCGATTCTTGAGGACTTGTGATGACACTCAATTCACAATCCAACCATAAGTAAGGACACATGTACAAGAGGATGCACACTAATACGGAATGTCTTTTTTATTCCATAGTTCATTTGAGTAGCTTGTGACTGGACTTACTCTTTATAATGTGTATTTTTATAAAACGCACCTATCCACCAATATCATGAATATTGATGCTCAAGGCGCTACATCATTATTACGTCATTATCAACCAGCTCATTGGGCCAATGTATGAAACATTCCAAATACCATCTCAGTTCCCAAGGGAGTATACATGTCGATGCTGCCAAATTCAGCGCAAAGCAGTTAAAATCAATCGCAATAACCATCTCTGCCCTCACAGGTACCCAATCTTCTCCTGGGTGGGGAGATGCAACGAGTGACAAAGTGGCTCGCCCAAAGGCACACGCACCGTTATCCCAGGCTTTACTTGAACCTGCAAAATTACCCGCAGACCGAGAATTCAATGCTCCAGAGTCCAGATAGACCACGAGGCCATGGCCCTCCGATTGACTCTTTATTGACTTGTGATCAACTTAATCACAGCAGCTCTACCTTCTTGCATGAAAATCTCCTGTGACTGTGTCCTGTTATTCAGGTGTGGATGAGACAACTGCTACTACATTGTTGTTTCCCAACAAGGCTGTCGCAACACTGAGCACAAGCACCGTGGTGAAACTCCCCAATGAAGCGGAGATAAGAGGAACCAAAGGTCAAATCAAGGTCAGTCAGTGAATGTGAAGTTTGTTGGAAATGCCTGGGAACCCGAAGGATCATTCTTAAACACATAACAGAGATAACAAATCTCATTTAGAGATATATTGGTTACTTGTCAGGCTCAGGCTACCTTAATTCCTTGATCCCTTGGAGGTTCAGGGTTTACTGAAGATGTCTAAGTGTAAATAACCAAATAATTATGTCACTCACAGTGGCTTGGATGCGAGCCAAGGTTTATTGTATGAGATAATTGTATAGTGTATGGTTATTCTTATAGTGGTTAAGGTTCAAATACTTGGGCAATTGCTTGTGTCCTTGGGCTAGCCACTTCACCCCCATTTGCTTCTCTCCACCCAGGAGTGGGTACCGGCATTAGCTGGGGAGTAAGCTGTGATGGACTGGCATCCTATCCCGGGGAAATAAAAATATTCTCAATCATTGGATACCAGGGAAACTAGAGGTAAACATCAACGTGATGAGCCTCATCAACTCAAGACATACTTCTAGTCATTCTTGTCTTTTGAAAACTGTAGATCATTAGAACAACCTCCTCCAAGATGGATTGTTCCAAGTGGTGTCTCGCTGCGTAATTGCAATTCCGTTTTGCAGTCCTTTTAATTGATTTTGTTGCAGGTGCCTTGCCCGTTTTGGTGCCCTACAAAACTTGAGGTGACAACCTCCATTGGAGAGGCTGATCTGAAGACCGAGCTGTACGAGTTTCCCCTGCCAAAGGCTGACAATAGCTTCCTCCACGTCAATAGTGCTGGCTTCCGATATGAGGCAGAGTGTGTGCGACAGTGTCTTATGAAAGGTGAGCTGTTATTGAACACTGATCATAATCTGCGGGATAAAGTAAAAGATTCCCAACATTAGACTGTTTGTTTCTTCCTTGTTCTGCTTGAAGTTAAATTATCATATAGAATTTCATTATAGAACCACAAGTTGATATACAAATAAAAATAATCGTAGTGCTGATGAAGCGCTTTCCATCGTGAAAGCGCTTTACAATTATTACCCCGGGTACCCATTTCTACTCCTGGGAGGAGACAGGCAATTGTAGTTAAGTGTCTTACCCAAGGGCACAAACACCATGTTCCTGACAGGATTCGAACCCAAGCACCATCGTGGTTGAGTCAAACACCGCAACCACTGGACCATGGCATTCTACTCAATGTCATAAAAATTAAAAAGCTTTGCCAGATTTTGAGCTGATTTAAGATGCCCAAAATAAAACATAAAGTACAAGTACCTATTTTTTGGGCTCTTAAAAGTAAAACATAAAACTTGAAAATTTAATTCGAAAACAAACGCAATTGTTGAATTATACATGGAGAGCAACTGTAATGACTAGTGTTTGACCCACAGGTCTGAAAGAGTGTCCAACTGCATGCCTAGAAGAGAGTTTGCAGGCGGCCGAGATCCTGGGCAGTGCCCGGCGTGATGTGGGCTATAAAATACCTGCAGATGACCTTTGACCTCTAACTCTAAAGGTCATACCCCCCTTCATAACCCTATACCTAGGAAGCAACAGCAATCAAGTAAGCTATAGTTTAGAACCAATTCGCCAGACACATCACCTCTGCACTTGTGCGCAATAACAGTGATGCACGAGCTCACCAGCAAGTGCAAAAAGTTGTGATTTAACAGAGGTTCAACCTGATATGATTTATGTTGCTGAATCATGATTGTTTCAATTGATAAATATCTTGAAAAATTACCCCTTTTTGTTGCTTGATGTATGACTAAATTTAAGATGGAATGTTCTGTTTTTGTTTGAAAATTTAAAAATGGCTCAACGTCATCTTTTTTTTATAGAAGATATTGTATAACATTTGACAGTTTGAAGGGGTATTTTTGGAAATTTTATGACAAAAAAATATATATATATATAATAATAGTAATGATGATGATGATGATGATATATTAATTTATATAGCTCAAATTCTATAACAAAAATATATTCAAATGTGCTTTCCATAAAAATTCTTCAAAATCCCCCAAAATAATAAATTAATTAAGCAAAAACATTCTGATCTTGTAAAAAATAAAAATGGGGGTGCTGTTCCAAATTGACGATTATGTACACTAGTGGACAATGTCTGGTGCTTTTCAGGGCGATAAATGCGTGAAATTAAAAGCTTTAAATTTATAACTGAATAAAATTAAATGTCAGCATTAACACTGCATAGACAAACCTATACAGTTCAAAGTAGAAGTTGTATATATTCTTGTTTTCTAGTAAAACTATAACACGGCTATAATATCACCAACAGAAGCATTTGCTGTTTTTTCTTCAATATACACAAGGGAATTTTCTTCAACTTAAAAAAAAATTATATCTAAATTAATTACTTAGAAAGTGTATGATTAATCAGTGACGACAAATGGCTGTCATTGTTTTGAATACGTAAAAGATCGCAGAAGACACAAACAATAATGTGTATAGATTCGCAAACGGGAGAACTAAGGGGCTTCTTCTTTGGTTCCCTTAACAGACTTGGGAAAGCGCCTGTGCACGGCCAACCTCATCCACAGGGTGTGAGCATGAACGGGCCCACTACCTGCTCGATCTCACCCTGGTACTACTGGGTCATTTGCAGCAGGGTGACCGTAAGGTCATGCCCAAATTCTGCTAAATGCACTTCAAAAATCTGTCAGATTTATCAAAAATCTGCCGAATTCCCATGAATTACTCGAAATACACTATAAACACTTGAAATCACATGCAGATGTTGTAATATTGCCTTAATCAAGGTTCAAATTACATTACAAACAGTCTATATTCATATAAAGGTGTTATGAAATTGCGTAAATTTCAGTCAAAACGAGGTTGCGTCACGACGAAATCTGATTCCCAGTGAACGTCAGCACATACACAAGGCAACCTGTCCTATTTTGCAAGGGTTTGTTTGAAAAGGTTGAAGTTTGTTTAAACAAATTTTCCTTTTTTCAAATTTGCTATGTTTTCCTGTTAAATAACCATTTTTGCAGAATTCTGCCAGAAATCTGCCAGAAAAATCCATTCTGTCAAATTTTCTGTCAAACTCATTTTTAAACAAAAAATCTGTCAAAGTTAGCCGGAAATCGGCTAAAACGGTCACCGTGTTTGCACGTGCAGAAATTTTTAACGCGTATGCAAATGAGGAATAGTCTGGTGCCTGCCTCCGCGTTACATTGAGCGTTTGTTTTTGTATGCGGTGTCTGGGGCAAAAACAGAATCAAGTTGTCGCGCCGTGTGTGAGTTACGAAAACACGATTGTTAAAATGTTACCATCTTATCCCGCCAATATGCAGTATCACATTTCATATTAATATAAAAAGTATGGTGTTCCATATGTGCGTTGCATTTTTCGGTGTCGCATTGTTCAGCTCTTACAGGGATCATTGTGATCGATTTCATGAAAGACTTTCGCAAGACTTCTTGCAACACGGCCAGAGCGTATTGTGCGTTTTATTGCACGTCCTTATCTATCTCCTATGATGTGAATGCTTGAGTCCATGAATTGTACCATACTTTCAATGGGGGCGCTGTTCAAATCCGACGATTATTAGGCCAAAAAAAAAAAATAGTCAGTCTCTGGTCAGCGCGCGCGTCGATTTTAATCATGCGCGTCGATCTTTTTTTTTCCAAAATGTTCCGTGGTAGCTCCAACAGCGCCCTCTATTTCCGCACCTTCTCAATTTTTTTTTACCAAAGAGCACCAAGGAATGGGAAATTGCACCAAGGCAAATGATTGAAAGCACCAAGGCAAATTATGGAGGACACCAATGTATATGAGGACACCAAAAAAGCAAAATAGTACCCCACCTTGTCTGTATAATCCAAGCTTGAAGAAAAAAAAAAGCAAAAAAAATAAAAAGAGCCGCGTCGCCGCGTCAATTCCGGAACTTTGGTCTGACCAGAGACCGATTTTTTTTTTTTTTGGCCTTAACACTATTATTACAGATTAGTGTACAAATACCCCATAACCAAGCTGGCTCTGTCCGTATTTTGTGCACAGGCGGACATTACCAGAACAATTGTGGGTGTCAGAGCAGAGCAGGGGTGGGGGGTCCCATTATTGTTAATGAATTTCCATGAAAAAAAAATTGACAGAGCTGGGATTTTTTTAACCCCCCCCCCCCCCAGGAGTCTGGGCTCCGTGGATTACGGGTGATACTCAGACTACCCTCCTCCCCCCCCCCCCGGATCCGCGCCAGTTTAGGAATTCGAATTCGCCATTGTTAGCAAAGGAATTCGAAACCGGTTCATGTAATCACTTTGTTCGTCTTTGTTCTTTGTTTCTTTGTTCCTATTTGAAAACGCATAAAACTAACTGTCCCCCACAAGATTCGGCTACAAAGCAGCAGCCACAAAATGACCATATTGATCACTTTTTTTGCATAAAAAGAAAGCTCATGTGACTGAAATGAAGCATGTTTAAGATAAAGCCAATTGAGGAAAAGATTAGAGATATAGGACAATTGCCCAGATCGCAATTTAAATAGGCTAGAAGATGAAAAAATGTGTAAAGGTAACAATTAAGAACGTAAAACAAAATATGTGAACACGATAAAAAGAGGGCAAAGGAGCTCCTAGTTTAATGTTGCCTGAGTTTGTTGTTTATAATGTCGATTTCGTGTGTGGTGTTAAATTTTCTCGCATCACTAGTTTACACTGTTGCTTGTTTAGATTAAAGACAGATAACAGATACTTTGAACATGAAGGGACTATAATTAAACCAATAACAAACGAACATGTAAAAAGTGAAGAAAAACAATAAATCTCGCATCTTGCCTTCGTTTCCCATTATTTTGAATGCAGAATGTGCTAAAAAATAGAATGCGCAGAGATGAAAACGAAAATAAAATTCTAACGCAAATATCCCTAAACCAAACAGACTGCCAAATTGAATGACCAGTTAAACCGAATGACATAACTTCAATTTAGGATGTGTTAAACTTGAACTTGTCAGGTCTAACAATGAATTGGAAGGTCTGAAAACTAATACGAACTACGGGAATGCCATTAAGGAGCTTCGAATCGGCAACTATCATGATGAATTTGAATGCTATTTTTCCAAAATTGGCCGGGAAATCTACATGTATACTAGGCCAACAAATATCACAATGTAAAGAGGGACACCAAAATTCACTGGCCTGCACATTGACGGAATCACCCATATGGCTAATCCAAAATAGAATCAGTATCGATAGACTTGAATGAAGTTAGACAGAGCCTCTGACGTATTTGGAGTTGATGGAACATATGCGTATCTAAAAATAAATGTTTTCATGGCTTTTTTGTCTTTGCACGGGCATAATAAACTTCTGCTCGAGCTAACAAAAAAGCATGGTGCGTGGCTACACTGTACGAAATACTATTACATGTATTATTATTTATATTTGATTAGCCTGCTTGAAATGCAAAAAATAATACTTGCTTTGAGCATTACGCATAAAGCAGCCCTTCCTTTTTTTCTTAGATTCAGCTGAATCTCAAGTCATAGTTATGTCAGTGCTGTTTGAAGTTGTATGCTGTAATTACCATCAGATCTGACTCTCCATGTCAGCAGTACATTTGTACACGATATGGGACGGAGGGACCCCCCCCCCGCCCTCTTTTGTGTTGGTCATTGTGTTATTAGAATCTCAGGAATTCTTTTGAGATATCTAGGGGGATCCATGTGTTATAGGTAACAATAGTCTAGGGCTTGCATAGGGTATATAGGAGATTGGGGGAGGGCGGGGTACCCCTCGAGGGGCCCTCCGTCCCATCCCATATCTTGCTGGGTATACATCAGTAGCCCATCTGAGGTCAGGTAAAACCTCTTGAGGTCACCAGGCAGCATGCAGGAGTTGCGCTGTTGCCAGGACACCACTTGGTGGCGCTCCGCTGGCTGCAGATCTGCAAGCGTAATGTCACAAATGCCTGCCCTCTTTTCTGGGAAAAATTAAATTGTCAATTGAAAAAGAGATTGGGTACTTAAAATGCAGTAACCTAAAGCCACTCTCTTCGCCATTTCCTCAATGCTCAGATAGCGCTTTGGGGTCATTCAATAATTAAACTGTCTAACTGTGTTAGATGCCTTCTGACACTATGACTGGGTTACATCCGATGGAGAAAACGTTTCAAAGTTTGTTTCAAAAGTCTTCATATTTTCTGATAGTTTTGGTGCCCCTGCATCTCTTGGCAGCGTTTTTTCCCGTGCATTGTTATTGTCATCTTATTTTTTTTCCCCATAAGTTATAACATAATGAAGGAATGATAATTTTGAAGTACATACACGTAGGCCTACTAATCTTTGCCTTGAGATGAAATAAAGTAAGTAGGCCTATTAAGTATACATGTATATGTAATATTGTTTCTTTGGGAAAAAATTGTCAATATACTATGTAGCCTGGCTCTAGGCCGATTGAGTCAACATGGACCCACAAAGTGCCATGTGTGCAGTGAAGATATGCTGCGCGTTACAACCTGGGATAGTTTGCGCAACAAACGGGCAATTTTACAATGCAGAGTGTCCCACAGTGCAACGTAACATATACCTTCACTGCACATTTCCGGTCTGGCGGTCATCCGTGAAACTAAAGGGTCCATGGTAAGATGCTGCGATGGTCAATATCATCATTGATCATGTCTCTGTCAACATAGCTCCATGTCAGCATGTAGTCCGAAAAATTGGGACTCTCAACACGCTGTATGAGAGTCCCAAAACTTAAGACATTGAAAATATGCAATACAAGAAAATAGACTGGCACCTGAAACAACTTGTCCAACAACCCTTCAGTACTGCATCAATCAACTGTGATAAAGAAACATCTGGCATGTCTGGTACTGGTCTCTATTTCTACACAATTTCTCCCTAGTCAGCCACCAGACTTTGGCATGTACCAGTCTATAGTCTTTAGCCTCATTT